ATTTTCTCTATAATTTTGGTCAAACTTAAGATGCTTCGACTGGTTAAAAAAGTTAGAGTGACTTATAATTTAGGATGGAGGGAGTAATACTAGTTAGCTAGCTACTATTAGCTATGGGCTATTAACCAACTAACTAACTATTAGCAGTTAATGGATAACTAGGACCTGAATGGGGGCGTGGTCGCTAACTCGATACAGAATTCGTAGATGCTTATATCTTGCATGTGCACGTCAAAACAATATCAAGAGATCCCTATTTTTTTCATTTGTTTGTGGTAGAAGGGCCTTTGGTGTCCTCTACTTTAGATTAGATTGCAACCAAATTCTTGCATTTCCTTTTTTGTGTGTCTGCATGTTATGTTCTCTTGTCAAAGGCAGGTAAAATTGTGAGGCCATTTTAGAACCTGTTTGGTAGAGCTCTTCCTTTTCTAATTCTCTGTGAGAAGTGGTTCTCTAATAAGTGTTTTTCTAACTGAAAATAGTTTTGTTAGATTCTCTAAGATAATCTATATGTAAAATGTGTGGGATGAGTTAGGAAAGGTTACCCTTTTTCAGCTCCGAACTTTCTAGTTGTAAAACACTCAGACTAGAAGCTGCTCTTAGAGGTCTGCCAAACAGGCTCTTACAAAGCAGTCCAAAGTGAATGAAAGGAAGATGATCATTGTTTTCTTACAACAGTTGGGATGGAAACCAATCTTTGTAAGTTGAAGAAAAACAAACTAGGGCCTTGTTTAGATTGCGGTTAGAAATCAGTATTTGACACTGTAGCACTTTTGTTTGTATTTGATAATTATTGTCCAATCATGGTCTAACTAGGCTCAAAAGATTCGTCTCGTAATTTACAATCAAACTGTGTAATTAGTTTTTTTTATCTATATTTAATACTCCATGCATGTGTCTAAAGATTTGATGTGATGGAGAGAGAGTGAAAAAACTTGCAATCTAAACAAGGCCTAGGTATAACTAAGTTGGCTAGGTTTTCTATGGCGGAACCAGAACCTGTCCCATCCATTTTTTTCGCAAACGTGCAATTGTGCCCGTATTTATTAAGGGGAACGGTGACAAGTACAGTTTGTCATGTGAGTGACAAGCCAAACTGATTGTCCCCAACCAACTACACCAAAGCTCACATGCAACAATTGAGCGATGAAGGAACACAAATGGCTATTTATCTATGAAGTGGTGAACGGTGTATAACTAGACTCATGATGCTACTTCATCAATCTTAAGATCTACCGGTTCAGTTTCTCGGATATTCATTGGTGTGAGTATATGGGTGTATGCATGTCTCTCAAGTTAAAGGGGCAAAAAAAACAGTTGTATTTTTTGAACTTCAATTTTATTTCCATATGGTATACAAATTTAATATACTTTTCTAAGAATTTGTCTTGGTGCATATCTATTTCTTAGCTTCCAGCTTTCTCTTGTCATCAAAAGAAATCGCACAATTATTGGTTGCAAAATTATCCACGAGGCAGGCCGCGCCGCCTATAAAACCCGGCGCCGGCCGCCAGCCGTTGGCCGCATCCACCGGTGAGTTGTGAGCAGAGCAGACCACTCCTCCCCCCTCCCTCGTGGCCTCGTGTCTGTCGGGGCCTCCGTCTCGGCTTGTCTTGTCCCCACCAATCCACAGCTCGCTCGCTCCCACCAAACCCACACCTGACACCCGCACAATGGCGTCGGCGTCCAAGGAGGAGGTGATCGGGAAGCTCAACGTCCGCGTGGTGCGGGGCAACAACCTGGCCATCGCCGACCCGCTCACCCACACCAGCGACCCCTACGTCGTCCTCCAGTACGGCGCCCAGGTCCATGTCCATCCCCGCTCCGCTCGCCTTCTCCCTCTTCCTCTGCCATCTGGGCTCCTTTCTCCCACAGGCCACAGCATTGCCTGGCTGGATCTCCCGTGATCGACGGGGCCCCGTTTGCAGTTGACGACACGTGCGTGGTCCACGGTCAGCGCCGCGGCTTGAGGGAGGATCGGATGTCGGGATTATTGTCGATCTTCCCCGATCTCCTAGTCCTAGGTGCTCGTCTGTCTCTGTCGTCTTCTATCAGTCTATGGGCTGCGAATCTGCCCGTGTTGCCTTCCCATCTTAGGATCCTGTTACCGTGCTACGTTCGCTGGTCTGTGGATTGGATGGCGAGTGGTCCATTCCATGGGCTTACCCGACCAGCAGCCGTTGACCTCGACGCCGGGATGTTGTACTGCTTTTCAACGACGACTGAAACGGGGATGAAAATCCTGGCAATGAACTGCAGTGCTAGCTTTCTCATGAACTTGCTTAACCAATGCAACAGCCAGTAGCTGTGTCCCTCCGAATCCGAAAGGGCTGTACTGCACTTTGGGGAATGTTGAACTGAGGGGCAGAGCACCACGCCCCGTAACAACTTCACCTTGAATGAAATAAGAAACAATAACTGCTGATAACATTTCTTCTGAACTACGGACTGATCCTGCACAAGTTTGCGAAACGAGAATATGAATTGAACCTGTACTTTAGCAGTATCTCTGTGATCTGCATAATAATTCCAGGACCAAATTAGTATATTACGTACTGAAATTACTTACTAGTGTTTTATTTGCCTGGGGCAATTCAAGATATTTTACTAACATGGCTTTTTCTTAGCGTTACCCCTAGGCTGACGATTTCAATGTATATATCAATTGTATAGTTTTAAGTTTCTGTATGATTGTGGCTTGTGTGGTGTCAAGTCAACCACTTATGTCGACTGTTGCTGAATTGCACTATTGCCAACTGAATACATAATAGAATGCGCTACTAAACAGTTTTGCAGGATTTTGAAAGCTATTTTTGTATTTTATCCAGTTGGCTTCTGTTCAAACGTCATGGATGCCCATTGAATTTATGGCTTCCTGTTCTTGATGTTTGCGTCATGGAAGTTTTCTTTTGCTGTTGTTACAGAAGGTGAAGACTAGTGTCCAGAAGAAGAATCCCAATCCAGTATGGAACGAAGTACTGCAGCTCTCAGTGACAAATCCTACAAACACCTTGTAAGTTTGTTGTCTCAATTGGTTCATCATGTTTGCTATTGGAAAAATATATAGATATAGATTATGAAAATATAAGTATACAACTATATGATGGTTAGAAATATGAAATCAACATTTTTTAACCTGAAAACAATTTCTTCTTGGCAGAAATATGAATGATATGGAACCATGTCTGCCATAGGTCCACTCATATTGCTGCAAATATGAACAAATTGACCACATATGTTTCTAACTATATACTATGCAATAACCAGGAAAAATGATCCTTGATTTCTGAATTGCTAATATCACGCAGGAAGTTTTTGATGAAGACAAGTTCACAGCAGATGACAGCATGGGTGTTGCTGAGATCAACATTACTGACATCTATGATGCTGCAAAGCTGGATCTGAAGCATGCCACTGATGGAACTAGGATCAAGACAATCTACCCAGTCGGTGTAAACTACCTTGGTGGCGAGAGCCATGTTCAGTGGAAGGATGGCAAGGTGGTCCAGGACTTGATTCTGAAGCTGAAGAAGGTCGAGAGTGGCCTGATTGTGGTGCAGCTGGAGTGGGTTCATGTTCCTGGTGTGAAGCTGTGAGGCCTGTCTGAATGAGGGTTGCGGTCGTTGCTTTGATGGAGCCGCTGCAGTTGTAGTTGGTCGTCCCTGCTTTGAGTGTTTCGTTGTAAACTATATCCTGAACGTGGTGATTTCCGGTGTATGAGTGATGTTTGAGTGTTGGTTTGAGTGTGATGTTTTATTGTACTTCCTGGTGACATGATGTGGGTGTGACTGTGAAAGCTTGTGGCGCACCAATAAGAAACGCCCTGTCAACACAGGTGGAGTGAGATGTAAATTAAGAACTTAGAACTTAAATATTGAAGTGATTGGGCGTTAATTGCTTTCACTTTGTTCCTGCAAAGTTTCTCTGTTAGCTCCTATCAGATTTTATTGTAGGGAAGCAAGAACATTTTTTTGACCCTGCCAAGGGATGCCTGCGTCCGGGCTAATTTTCTTCTTCTGTCATTTCTAGAAATACCTAATCTTTCATACGTTTCTAGGTCAAGCGACGAGTGTTTTCTCAGTTCTATCTCTAATATTAAAGAGCCTAATTTTCTTTTCCGTCGCTTCTAGAAACTGTTGTCAAACGAGGAGCGTTTCGTCAGTTCTATCCTTAATATTAAAGAGCCTAATTTTATTTTCCGTCACTTCTAAAAACACCTGATCTTCCGTGTGTTCCTGTAGTTGAGTACCTTCAAAGGACGTGAATCGGCTTTGAGGACGTGTTGTTTGGATTGAAGCCTGACAGGCATTTGGGTGGCCAGTCCTTGCCCTAGGCATCCAAAATCAGATACTTGGGATCGATATCTGCCCAGGTGAGTTTTCTCAGCCTCCAACCAAACACACCCTTGGAATGCTTTAGAACTTTCGCATTTTTTAAGGAACAATGCTTGACATCTATATTTGGCCCACGTAAGTTTTCTCAGCCTCCAACCAAGCCCTTGGGATGCTTCAGAACTTACCGCATTTGAGGAACATCTGCATTTTTTATGTACAAACAAGAGGATGGAAAACGGCTGCCGTTGTGTTTGGGCTTATTAAAAGGCCATCCTGTACATACAATTATTTCATCATAATTGATACGCAGAGCTCCTGCCGAATTTGTTGTTTGCAAGAAGAGCATAACTAATAAGGCTCGACAGCAACACCCAAAAAAAAAAAAAAAAAGCTGCGAAATCATTCGTTGCAATCAAGCTAGATTTACCAGAATAACCTAAAATAATAAGATCTCAGTTGTTGCATATATTAGCAACTTAGATCACATTCAAAATAGTCAAAGCACGTATATTTGGTGTCTTCGACAGAATGAATCCTTTAGAGCGGATACGTTGAGATATCTATAGTTCCAAGCAAACGAGAGTCTCTATGTCATGGTGATATATAGGGAACACGCTATATAGTTGGTACTAGCGAGAATAAATACTAATCATGAGCTCTCACAAATTACTGAGAGTACTCTGTCTTGGAAGAGCCATTGATTACGACTTTGGCCTCAATGCAACTCTTGCCTTTGATGAGATAACCCTTTGATGTGTCCTTGAAATCCTCCAGCGAGATGAACTTATTCCATCCCCAGCAAGGATATTGGTTTGAGAACTGGCACCTGCCTGCATTTCCCAATAAAAATAAGTTAAGAATGTGTGATGATAATTTAGCATACAGACTAACCAGTCTATCAAGCAAATTTCTGCTAAAATGTGAACCTGGTAATTTCTTGTCCTTGCTGTTTTCCTGGTCTTTGATGGATAAAGTAAATTCGACCAGGTTCCCAGAGTCTTTGGGGACATCATTTGTCTTCTTCATTTTCAGAAATAAGGACACATGGTTACCATCGCAAGATGGATACATAGTGATAGACCTGCAATTGGTATAGAAGCATTCTTAGCACTGTAAGAAAGTTCAGATTATGCTATCAACATTCAGTCATGTATACATGTCAAGTATTGAAGCTGAAAAGATTATCACCATGTGTATCCACCGATTTCGAACTCTGGTGAGTAGGATTGGTTCTTCGGAGCAAAGAAATCCTCAATTTTCAAATCCTCAATTTTCCAAGTGTAAACTTTGGCCTCGTTGAAGACGTTCATCTTCCTTACAAACAGTGTTTCTAACGCCGTGTTGGCTTTGATAGTGGCAACTTTGATGAACTCAATACCAAATATGCAACTGTTGTTGACAAGAAATCCAGAGGACTGTTTGTTTAGTGTTTTCAAGGGTAACATGCATGAGATGCCAGAGCTCGTACTTGCAGTCTGGAAGCTGTGGTTAACTGCACAATAAAAAATCCAAGCATATATATTTTCTCAGAAAATGGTATTTAATTACCATAACAAATTTGAAGCAAAATGGGAACACATTGTTTCCAGAGAAAAACTAAATGGAGACAAAAAAACCAAATAGAAGGTTTTGTAAAAAAAAAGCAAGCATTAAAGATTTTAAGTTATAGCTAGCAGTTACAAATGAGCATTTGGGCCAATGGGTATACAACTATAATCAATTCTCAGAGAAAAAAAAAACATTAAAGTTATATCTGACAGTGTAACTAGGAATATATAGTTTGCTACTTTACCTAGCTGCTTCTTGTGCTTTCCATTGGACTGATCATATATCATGAACTTGAAAGATGCCTCAACGATAGTGTCAAGTTTCACTGAACCCTGCGGCAGTTCAAGCCTGAGAGAGACATACTCCTCCTTACCAATGATCTTTTTGTACTTTGGATTCAGTTTCAGATACCTGCAAATGAGTCAAAACAGAGCACTGAGATCCTGTTCATGACATGAATGACTGCTGGCCATGTTTTGTATTTTGAAAGTTCTTACATAAACCTATGAAAACCATTTGCATGTTAGGGGAGATGTACAAAGAAGCCATTTCATTATTTGCTAGGCTTCTGAAGTCATTCAGTTTTTCATGCAGGATATATACAAACCAAAGCCTACCCCAACTTGCTTCGGACTGAAAGGCTATGTTGTTGTTGTATATATACAAACCAAGTCAACATTGGAATAGTTACCCCTCAAAGAAACATTGAATACTTCTGACTGTAAGAAGGAAGCAATTTAACCAGAGAAACAAAAATAGCAACAGTAGTAACGATACCATTTTACGCCCATGATCTCAAATACGTTGGAGTATGTCCATCCTTGATCCTTGTCCAGAAGGGAGGAAAAGCCATCAATGATCCACTTGAAGGTTGTCTGCTCCACTGGAAGAGGTGTGGCATTGGACGTCAAGTCCAGGCCTGGGTTTGATCCGCCTGAAAACAATGAGGGGCAATAATAAAAAAGATCAGAACAAGAGCAAAAACCAGCAGTGAAATCTAGAAAGAAAAAAAAATGCGAGATGAAGTGTATGTTGCTCGTGATGACCCGTAGCAAGTATGCTGAATAACGTGTTAGTACAACAATGATTAACAAAATGGTCTAGCGCATTGAGCAGTAAACTTTAAGAAGAAAATCCGTACCAGCACCTTTGACGCAAGAGTTGCCCATTGCTCAACCGCTCCCTCTTCCCAGGAATCCTCTGCAATTGAGATCAATCCTCATGCCATAAGGAAATAACGAAGGCTGTGGGGTTAAGATGGAGAAATCTTGCATATTAGCAGGAAACAACAACTCAAGGGTCTCAATTTCAAAGAACGGCTAAACCCCGCTACACGAACAGGTAGATCAAAAAGAAGCTCCCGAACACTACTAACGAACAATCTATTCATCAAGAAAACTAACAACTCGCATCCGCAAAGCCCGAAACCCCTTTAAAATCCACGAGAAATCCAGGAACTCTGCAACCGTAAGATTCTCTAAATGTTTTCCGGCCTATTCCTTCCACTCCCCTGCGCACTTACAGCACACGATCGCCGGCGCCGTACACACGCTACGAAAAAGGAACACGTTTTCCTACGGATCGGGAGATTAGGAACACTGGAAGAGGCACGACAGGAAGATCGAGAGACAAAGCTCACCTCGAGATGCTTTCTCGGCGGAGATCCGAGGCTTCGAGCAAACCCTCACCGGGTGGGGTTTTCTACGGGCCAGCAGAAGTGCAGATGGGGTTTTCTAGAGAGCTGCGCAAGGGCGAGGGGAAGCCGGGGGCTGCGCGAAGGGAGGAGGGTTTTGTGCACACGAGGAGGGGATGCCTCGTGCCTCTCGAGGAAACAGAAATTCGGTGCAAAATTCACGGGTTGTTTCGGTGTTTGCGGGAGGTTGCTAAACTTATTTGACGGTGTCATCTATATTTTTAACTCTGAGAGTATTTCCGAGGGCATTTCTAAATCTTACACTGTAAATTATTATTCAGAGAGTCATTTATATAAAAATAGCTTTCTATCAGCCTGTTCGCAAGTTGTTTCAGCCAGTCCAAACCAGCCAGCCAACAGTGTTTTTCTCTCAAAAAAACCAGCACCAGCCAGCACCAACCAGCGAACATGCCCTATATCTCTTTATTCTCCAACAGTTTTTCTATATCTTATGATCACTCTAGAGAGCTATTCTCGTCTTCTATTTTTAGCTAGCGAAAAATCCGGAATAGAAGATGGCTATGTTTAGGCCCCGTTTGGCACGGCTCCACTTCACCCATGAAGCCCTTTTTTGGGCTTCAGCTCCAGAAACAGATCTATGGGTGGAGCTGTAGCCGTTTTGATAAATCGTTTGGCAAAATAGCTTCACATATAGTTTTTCTTAAAATATGCTCTCAGAGAACGCCATGTAGAATGAGGTGAAGCCGAGAGAAGCCACTATTTTTGGTTCCTTCTCACCCCAAAGCTCTGTGAGAGCACGTTTTTAGGGGCTTCATCGGTGGAGCCGTTTTATTTTAGCCCGTTTGGCAGAAAACGGCTCCAAACGGCTCCTGAAGCCGCTAGAGAAACCCTGCCAAATGGGGCCTTAGATAACCATTTAGAAAAGCTGTTGGAAGGTATTTTCTGACCAAAATCTTATTTGCTAGTATTTAGAAATGATATATAGAGTCTCTTGGAGTTGCTCTTACTAGCAAACGTGCCCGTGTGTTGCAATGGGGTGTACAAATTATTACATGGTCATTTGGACCACTTCAGTTTAGAGAACCATTAATAATCACATCATGAGTTAGGATTCATCTTGGAACTCGGCGTACGTTAGCCACTCTAACTTACATGAGCACGAGAGATTTAAAGATTTATTATCTAACGGTTACATTATATCTTCATATTCATTTTAGATTGTATACTTCACACGGCATCATGTTTAGCTAGTTAGATGTGCTGATCTAACTTGTACAAACATGTGAGAAAGTGGCATACCAATATAAAATGATCTATGCTTTATAAATGATATATAAATATATAAACGTAGATTAATTTATTTTTGGATAGATCGAAACATGGTCAACTGTTCTAAATGGATGTAGTCAGATGGATATGCCAAAAATTTAATTTAACCCATATATAAGTTTTACGTTGAGTTTGGATTGTCTAGGACGACCATACGAACTCGCGTCAGTTGTAGATTAGAGTGAAACCGAGTAGTTTTCATGTGCACGTTTTCTTTAAAGCAAATAAAACTGAAGACGAACGCGGGATCATGCATGGTGGAGGTATGATAAAAAAAAAAGTTTGGCTTCGTTTAATTTATATTTGTCTAATTTCTATTTTTATCCTTTTCTATTTACATTTGGATTCCTATTCAAGCTACGCAGGACTATTTGCCCAATTTGTATTTTTATCCTTTTCTATTTAGATTTGGATTCCTTTTCAGGACAAAAAGCCTTGCATGTTAGATAATATCAAATAGTCTATTTGCATTAGAATTCCTATTCAGATTATCTCAAAAAATTCCGCCAGACAAGATAGTTTCCACATTTAGAATTAGTTAGGGGAGGGCCAGATAAAAAAAGGGTGGAGAAAAATTTTGCCTCTTTAATATTAGGCATAGATTATATATATTATAGGTATATAGATAGACGTGTCTGTGTCTTACAACGGAACCCAATAATCTTAGAATCGGACTCCATATCGGTTTAGATGCGAGCTATTCTAACTCGTATGAGCACATGTTATATATATAAGTTTGGACGGAAGAAACTCTACATTGTCGGAGACGGAAAAAAAATGGGTGGACGAAAAAAATTGGCTGAAATTTTGCCTCATTATTATTATATATTAAAATAGATTATATAGATTAGAATTTTGATATTTACGTCCTATATATACGGCAGTGTCACTCTGTCCTTAACTCTCAAATTTTAACGTTTGGATCCTAAATTCTTGTACAATTGTACAATGATATAATGATATAATCTACTAATCTAAGTTTCAGGACTTACAATGATATAATGATACCACATCAGCGTCATCTATGACGTGAAAGTTTGGAACCTAGACAACACGATTGTACAAGTTTAGGATCTCAGAAATCGAAATCTAAGAGTTGAAGACTCAAGTGACACCGTGGTATAAGTTTGGGGATTCAAGTATTAAAATTTGAGGGTTAGAGATCCAGGGTCAAACAAAATCAGGTGTGATAGTCTTTTTGGAGAAAATTCTTTGTATGAAACCTTTGATATGCTTTCCTACATAGTTGGCTTTGAGAAGTTTTTTTCTCTATGTGATAGCAAGTTTATTATTAATGGCTTATTTGATGCTATGCATCGACATTTGTACTGTCAGATGCAACATAAGTTGTATATAAATCACCTTTCAATTCTTGATTTTCTATTTGTGATCATCGATGATGAGATCGATGACATGGAGTTGCTCTCGTTGGGAGTGTTCAAGAGGTCGCCTGATGATTAAATCGACGCCTACAACAACGACTTCGTCGTGACAATCACTAAAATCATCACAGGTAACAAGATTTTGACCAAAAATCATCTAATTTTGTTGGCAGATTAATCTTAGTTAAAACTAAAGAATTAGATTTAAAGAATGGTTGGAGACAGAGATAAGTTTCCTCTCTTTGTCACCAATAAACTCACCGAGGAGGAAGAAAGAAAGAGACCCTAGATGACAATGGCGACGAGGAGGATGACAGGACGGTACTATGTAGTTACCGAGTTCCAAATCTTTTATCTTTATCTATACTCTATATCTATCTATCTATCTATATCTATATCTATATTATTACTATAAAAGAGCAAAAGAATTGAAAATACCTTTTCACCTAAAATTTTCTTACCCACCTTACATGAGAGCCATCGGATGACTCGGCTTTAAATCTAATGGTGTAAATTAATCTTACTGTAGTCCGTAGCGAAAGAATTGAAAATACCTTTTCACCTAAAATTTTCTTACCCACATTACATGAGAGCCATCGGATGACTAGGTCTTTAAATCTAATTGTGTAAATTAATCTCACTGTAGTCCGTAAGATTATCTTACGCGTTCCTGCCACGCTCGACACCGTCCATCGAAGAATTTTATTCACCGAAAATTTTTCTTACCCGCTCCTGTACCCACGGCAGCACATCAACATCTCAACTACGCCTTCGATTCCCATCCTTCTCACCTCTCCAATAGTCCAATTCTTGACTCTTCCGAGTTCCGAGACACCGGGCTGGGGAGGAACCGGGCTAGGGAGGAAGAGGAGAAGGGCGCGCCGGCATCGCCGGCGCCCACGGAGGACGCGACGGCGGGTACAGCAGTGACGAGGTCACGTCGTCGCAGCCGCCGAAGTTGACAAGGTACGGATCTCTGGTGCCCCTCCATCACCATCCGTTTTGGATCATGTCGTGTTCCTGATCCCCTCTTGATCTGCCGGTCCTCCTTTTGCCTACCAAAATCTAATTGCTCTCTTCCGATTTGCGTGCTGCAGCTGCAAGTCAATGGGGCTGGGCACCGGCACCTCTGTCATCTCTTCCCGTTGCCGCTGAGTCGGAGTGGCCAAATCACAACATACGGCAGCGGCATTGCACCGCCCAACCCCAATTCTGAACTTCCCAAGGCCAAGCGCAAGGTATGTAAACTGCACTGAACTTGCAATACCTGTCCAAGTATTTCTTTGGTCGTGTTAGTGTGGCGACTAAAGAAACTAAATTGTAACGGTCTAAAGCAACTCAAACTTCACGTGCCAAAATAAACCTGAAAGGTATCTAAAATTCTATTGTGACGGTTATAAATTTGTCCTACAAGACGGCCTAGCTGAGTTAGGGAGTAAAATTTCATAGAGTTCATTGTCATGAACTATGAACTTGAGGAGCCCTTTTCTATTATATGAACATGCAAATGGAACACCAAATGCATGTTGACATGATGCTATTATTTGGCCACGGTAGTTATGAATGCAGAAATTTGAAATTTACAAATTAAGCTTTCTAATTTCCACAGTTCCTGCATAACTCCCATATTCTGTATCTTTTATTTTTTTCATCCATGTTAGTTTCTTCACTCTTCTATAGGAGGCTTTGAATCCTTCTGTGCACTCCAATGTGGCACTACGACCAACAGGAGTCTTTGAGGACCAACAGGAAGCGCTCAAAGCCTCCGAAAAAGGGTCAGCCTGAGGGTGCCCTGTATGACTATGGGGACAATATCAACTTGGCTGTGTTCTCATCGCTCCAGGGGGAGCCTCACAATCACCAGATTGCTGCTCTAGCTGTAGCCTTGAAACAAGCCATGTCACCTGTATTCAAGGCCTATATCCAGCAGGTCAAGGCAAACGCAGTTGCCCTTGGTAACCATTTGATGGGTAAGGGCTAGAAGATTGTTACTGATGGTGATGGAACATAGAACCACCTTGTTCTCCGGGATTTCCATCCTCTTGGCTTGACTGGTATGCATACCATGAAGGTTATTCCATCTCCCAGATAGCATAGCATGATCCAAATCCCTTGCTCTACTCATTGGTTTCTTGCCACTAGAGTGTTCTTGCCCTGTAGCCAGAATGGATGACACCGGAATTTCTTTGTTGTGAGCCATTCAAGGTCTGTGATGTAGCCATTTATAGTGTCACAATACTTATGTGGTCTATCTTAGGTGCTTTATTTCCTACATTTAATAATCTATATAATTTAATTAGATTATGTCAGACTGAATTATTTGTTCTAATTTCTTAGATTTTGTATTTTTATTTGTCTTGATGTTTATTTTGTAGAGAAAGCAAGAAGTGATAGCTACTTCATTAGAAAGGTTAAAACATCCTGACCAGGAAAGTTCTTGTGTCACCAGATCAAGAGGTAAACCGCCGATGCCTTCTTTTGTTCTTTATCACACACCACGATTATTACAGCAAATAATTTACCAGGCATAGAAGCAGATGAATACTCTATACTATACTGTGAACTTGTTTTCTTTATCAGGGCATGTTCGGCTGGTATTAAAGCCGGCTGATAAGCCGGCTGAAGTTGTTTTGTTGTGAGAGAAAAATATTGTAGATTCTAGCTGATAAGCCGGCTGATAAGTTCAAGCGAACAGGCCCTAGCTGCCCTTAAAATAAAAAGGAATAAAGAAATATATAAGTTATTTTGATTCTCTGGTAACTGAAATGGGTATCATAGCTTTTTGATAGGAAAAGCTGATGTTTGTTTGCAGGTGTGGTCTGTCTGGATAAGCTTCAGCTGACTCTTGAGTAAATTGATAGAATTATGATGTAGCAGTGGGGATATTTAGGGGATAGTTCTTCGAAAACTTCGGAAGCAAACCATTTCAGAGTGATCATTATGCAAAACCCCTAATGAAAAGACAGAATAAAGTAATATATGTCCCTTGGGGTATTGATTTGTCATATGTAACTTTTGTGATAAACTTTTATTAATATATTTAAGCTTACTTGAGTGACATTAATTGGTATTAATCAATAATAAAACGAACCATATCATGATAAATTGTGGTTGTATATGTAATTGTATCATCATGCATTATAGAAATATCCTTGAAAATTTATTGTTAAAACTCCTTTATAAAATCTCAATGATTGGCTATTGACTTTTATCCACGTGCATGTCCACTAGTACAGAACAAACACGCGTTAAATCTTTACGATGAATTACCTTCAGAAATACGGCTCCGTACTATCAGCTCTTAACCTCTACTCTATTTCCGACTCGGAAGATTAGTAAATCGGCAGGCAGCAGCTGCAATGTCATGTGCAAGTCGGACGGAACGAGCAAGACTAGACTACAATGCGGGTCGCGGCGCTCTGCGACGTGATCCAAGAACACCGCCGCACCGGCACGGCGATCAGCGCCTGGCGAGCCGCTGCCATCTCCGCGATGGTCGACGACGTCGTCGTCGTCGCCGCCGCCGCCGCCGCCTGAGAGTAGGCCCAGGGCCTGCGGGCGGAAGCGGCACATGGCCAACGCCCGCGGATACAAATAGGACGGGCGCAGGCTCGGGCGCTCGGCCAGGGTGAGTGCGGCATCGTCGTCACGGCACGGCACCGCGCCACGGGCCAGGCCGTCGCCGTCAAGTCCCTGCACCGCAGGAGCTGGGACGCCGACGTCCTGCGCGAGACCTGCTTCGTGGCGGCCGGCGGGGGCCACCCCTCGCTCGTCGCGTTCCGCATGGCAGACCGCGGGGAACGGCCGTACCCGGAGGCCGAGACGGGACGCATCATGCGGCAGCTGCTGGCCGGCGCCGAGGTGATGCACCGGCACGGCTGATCGTATTGTTCACAAGAAGAGCATGACTGATACGTCCCGACAGAAAAAATAAAAAAGAAAAAAAAAGAACTGCAAAATCATTCGTTGCATGGTTGTGCAATCAAGAATGATTACCAGAATATAACCTAAAATAATAAGAAAGATCTCAGTTTGCATATATTAGCAACTTAGATCACATTCAAAATAGTCAAAGCACGTATACTTGGTGTGTCTTGGATAGAACGAAGCCTGAACTGAAACGTTTAGATATCTTTAGTTCCAAGCAATAGAGAGTCTCAATGCCATGGTGACAGGGAACGTAAAATATAGCTGGTTCTAGCGAGGATAAACACTAATCATGAGGTCTCACAAATTACTGAGAGTACTCTGTGTTGGAAGAGCCAATGATTGCGACTTCAGTCTCAATGCAACACTTGCCTTTGATGAGTTAACCTTTTGATGTGTCCTTGAAATCCTCCAGCGAAATGAACTTATCCCATCCCCAGTGTAACACCCCAGGCCCGGTACACGGTCCTCGCTTCACACAAAACAATTAACCGAATGTTACTACGCGTCCTTGGCCTAGCTATTTAAGTTGTTTCGGCGAACTCGGAATCCACGGTATGGTACTAAACTTTTGGTTGCACACTCAGCCCAGCTCAATTCAACGCTATAGCTACAGTAGTCCAGCCCAACCGCAATTGCTTGAGAACTGGGCACTGCCTGTATTTCACAACAAAAAATAAGTTAAGAATATGTGATGATAATTTGGCATCCGGACTAACCAGTCCATAAAGCAAATTTCTGCTAAAATGCGAACCTGCAAATTTGACAGCATCACATAATCAAGTTAATAATGTGTAAAACTATTATATTTGTGTTTACGTAAATTTTCAAAACTTCTGTGGTATAGAACCATTCTTAGCATTTTAAGAAAGTTCAGATTATGTTATCAACATCAGTCATGTATACATGTCAAGTATTGCAAACCGAAGAGATTATCACCATGTGTATCCACCGATTTCGAACTCCGTTGAGTAGGATTTGTTCTTCAGAGCAAAGAAATCCTCAATTTTCCAAGTGTAAACTTTGGCCTCAATGAAGACGTTCATCTTCCTCACAAAAAGTGTTTCTAACATCGTGTTGGCTTTGATGGTGGCAACTTTGATGAACTCAATACCAAATACGCAGCTGTTGTCGACAAGAAATCCAGAGGACTGTTCGTCTAGTGTTTTCAGGGGTAACATGCACGAGATGCCAGAGGTCGTACTTGCAGTCTGGAAGCTGTGGTTAACTACAGAATAAAAAATATTCCAAGCATACATATTTTCTTCATAGAAAGGTACTTAATTACCACCACAAGATATGGCTTAAGACGGAATGAAAAAACATTGTTTCCAGAGTAAAACTAAATGGAGACATGAAACCAAATAGAAGGTTTTATAAAAAACAAACAAGCATTAAAGATCGTAAGTTATAGTTGGCAGTTTCAAATGACCATTTGGGCAGATGAGTATAAATATAATCAATTCTCGGAAAAAAACATTAAAAGTTTACAAGTTATATCTGACAACGTAACTAGGAAGATTTTGAGTCAATGTGCGTAATGCATCAGTTATTTCCATCAGATATAATCAATTCTCAGTGTGAGTAATTTGCTACTTTACCTAGCTGCTCCCTATGCTTTCCGTTGGACTGATCATATATCATGAACTTGAAAGATGCCTCAACGACAGTGTCTGCGCCAGTTGAAGCTTGAGAGAGACACTCCTCCTCATCATTGATCGTTTTGTACTTTGGATTCAGTTTTAGATACCTGCAAATGTGCCAAAACAGAGCCTGTTCATGAGATGAATGACTTGCTGGCCATGTTTTCTAGTTTAAAAGTTCTTACATAAACCTATGAAAACCCTTTACATGTTGGGGAAGATGTACAAAGAAGGCATTTCATTATTGGCTAGACTTCTGAAGTCATTAAGTTTTTCAGGCATGAAATATATGAACCAAGTAAACATTGAATAGTTCTGGCTGTAAGAAGTAAGAACAATGCAATTTTAACCAAAGAGACAAAAAGGGCAACATCTAACCATACCATTTTAGGTCCGTGATCTCAAATACAGTGGAGTATGTCCATCCTTGATCCTTGTCAAGAAGCGAGGAGAAACCATCAATGACCCACTTGAAGGATGTCTGCTCCCGTGGAGAAGGTGTGGCATTGATGTTGTCTTGGCATTGAACGTTGTCTGCTCTCCTGGGGAAGGTGTGCCATTGGACGTTGTCTTGGCATTGGAGGTTGTTGTTGGGAACACAGTATCTCTGAAACGTAGATCATGGGATAAATATCTTATTTAGATGGAGAAACTGATTTCCCTACTTCGCCCTGGCGCAGTTGCGCTGCAGCCGCGTGGACGCCGATGTCGTGGGAGCTCGGCGCGGTGGAGTCCAGCGTAGTGGTGGTGATGCAAAGGCGACGGTGACGTGAGGTGCCGCGGTCCGGTGGTGACGGCGAAGTCAGTGGGTCTTCCCGTCGCTGACAGCACCCTCTTAGATCGGATTAGGTTTTGCTGTTGGTGGGTCACGGTGGCTCAGGTCAACCTCATAGTTAGAGCCCTGGTCCCCACCTCTCTTTATAGTGCTGTGCGATGGAGGCCCACCAGCTTGTAGTGGTTGGACGCCCCCGATCAGGGCGTTGATCCAAGGGCCCAGGTGAAGATTAAACTAACATTCTCCACCTTGATCTCACAATCTTTCAATTTCATATCATTTACTTTTGTTCATTCCATTACAGATTAGTGCATAGAGCATGTTTCATCGTCACGGTCAATTGTCGATAGATTTAACAACTACAATACATCACTCTATTCTGAAATAGATACTTAACTTTGGGCCTTCTTTTGTCTAGGAATTTATAGGCTTTCCCTTAAACCCATGCCGGTTACATGTTGTCTGAACACGTTGGGTGGTAAGCCTTTTGTAAACGGATCCGCAAGCATCTTTTTGGTACTTATATGCTCAAGACTTATGACATGATCCCGGACTTTATCTTTCACAACATAATACTTTATGTCAATGTGTTTAGCAGCACCACTTGACTTATTGTTATGAGCATACTGTACTACCGGATTATTATCGCAGTATAACTTAACTGGTCTATAGATGTCGTTAACCACCTTCAAACCGGGTATGAACTTCTTTAGCCAGTTCACCTGTCCCGTTACCTCATAACACGCTACAAACTCGACATACATTGTGGACGATGTAGTGACGGTTTGCTTTGAGCTTTTCCATAAAATAGCTCCCCATATGAGAGTGAATACATATCCAGACGTGGATTTTCTATCATCTTCCGCATAATCAGAATCTGAATATCCCACTATATGGAGTGAATCTGATCTTCTATACGTCATCATGAGACTTTTCGTTCCTTGTAAATAACGCAAGATTTTCTTTACTAATTTCTAGTGTTCTATTCCAGGATTTCTCTGGAATCTGCCAAGTAACCCAATAACAAAAGCCAAGTCAGGGTGTGTACATACTTGAGCATATTGCAAGCTTCCGACAGCTGAAGCATATGGAACCGTTTTTATTTGATCGATCTCATACTGATTCTTAGGGCATTGAAAATCCTCATATCTGTCGCCCTTGACTATAGGAGCAGGTGAGAGACTACATTTGTGCATATTGAATTTCTTTAAGATCTTTTCTATGTATGTCTTTTGTGACAGTCCTAATACCCCTTTACTTCTATCTCGGTGAATCTCGATCCCTAGAACAAACGAAGCTTCACCAAGATCTTTCATATCAAATTTTGAGGACAAAAACTTTTTTGTCTCCAGCAGTAGACTGACATCACTACTAGTAAGTAAGATATCATCCACATATAGGATAAGAAAGATAAACTTCCCAATCTTAAACTTTGCATAGACATAATTGTTCTCTACATTCTCTTTAAACCTAAAATTTCTTATTGTCTGATCAAACTTCAAGTACCACTGTCTTGAAGCTTGTTTAATCCATAAATGTATTTCTTTAGGCGGCATCACATTCGTTCTTTTCCTTCCATGACAAAACCTTTCGGTTGTGCCATGTAAACATTTTTCTCCAAGTCTCCATTGAGAAATGCCGTCTTTGCATCCATCTGATGTAATTCTAAATCGTAATGTGCCACTAATGCCATTATGATTCTGAATGAATCCTTACATGAGACTGGAGAAAAGGTCTCATTATAATCAATCCCTTCTCTTTGCGTAAAACCTTTTGCCACAAGTCGCGCTTTATATCTCTCTATATTTCCTTGAGAGTCAAGTTTTGTTTTGTAAACCTATTTACAGCCTACTGTTTTGACTCCTTTAGGAATTATTTTCCAGTCCCAAACTTTATTGGCATTCATAGATTTCATTTCATCTTCCATGTCCTCAAGCCACTTTGATGAATGATCACTTCTCATGGCTTCTTCAAATGAGGTGGGATCATCCTCCATTTGAAATTCCTCAGTGTTGTATACTTCATAGTCAGTAGGAATAGCTGATTTTCTAACTCTTTGAAACCTTCTAGGGGCCGCCATATTTGGCACATCTTCTGTTTGAGGCTGTTGTTGCTTCCCCTCATGTGTGGCAATAGGTTCTATAGAATCCTGAAGAACAGGTTCCTCATCGTCATTCATTGTTGCCACAAACGGAATAACAACAGGTGCTGCCACCACAGTATCTTGCACTGTCGGTGCAGCGACAATAGGTAGTGAGAAAAATGGCTCATGAATCATCGGAGTGGGCGCATACACCCGCTTCTCTTCAAGGTCAATTTCTCGAGCTACCATACTCCCCCTCATCGTTTCATCCTCTAGGAAGACAGCGTGCCTCGTTTTCACAAACTTTGTATGTCTGTCTGGACAGTAGAAACGAAAATCTTTTGACTTTTCTAGGTAGCCAATGAAATGGCAACTTACTGTTTTAGGATCTAGCTTTCTAATGTTTGGGTTAAATACTTTAGCTTCAACAGGACTCCCCCCACACTAAGTGGTTTAGTGACGGTACTCTTCCTGTCCACAACTCATACGGCGTTTTGGACACCGACTTACTTGATACTTTATTGAGAATATGAATGACGGTTTTTAACGCCTCCATCCACAGGCTCAACGGTAAGGTGGAGTAACTTATCATACTGCGCACCATATCTATCAGGGTACGATTGCGTCTTTCAGCTACTCCATTCTGCTGAGGTTCGCCTGGTGTAGAATACTGGGCTACTATGCCATTCTCCTGTAAGAACCTTACAAAAGGTCTAGGAACTTGGCCATATGGGGTATGCCGACCATAGTACTCCCTCCCCACAGTCGGACCTGACTATCTTAATCTTTAAATTATATTGGTTTTCAACTTTTGTCTTAAATAATTTAAATTTATCCAATGCTCCTATTCTTTCTTTGATTGAATAAATGTAGCCATAACGGGAGTAATCATCTATGAATGTTATGAACGAATCATAATCATCTACACTCTTTACAGGAAATAGACCACATATGTCTATGTGAATAATCTATAAAATTTCTATGCTTCGTTTGACATCTTTCTTAATTTTCTTTACATACTTTCCTTTTATGCATTCTCTGCATTGTTCTAAATCTGAGAACTCTAATAGAGAAAGAATATCATTCTTAACTAGTCTTTCTATTCTCCCCTCGAAATATGGCCTAAACGAAAGTGCCATAATTTCGACGATGCATCGTGAGCTCTCTTTCGTTTTCTGTTTACATCCGCAGACGAGGATACATTCTCATTATCGCACACAACGTTCCCATCATCGTATACAACATTCACATCATCACGTAGTGATAACAAATAAAGCTCATTTTATAAGATAGCAAGACCAACACATGCATTATTAAATGTTATCTTACATTTGCCATTTCTAGAGTACCTCTCTGTCACCAGCTGCTTTATCAGCTAGGTAGCATATGTCTTTGAAGAGCCAGTGAACTGACTCTTTATTCTATCGAGGTACTCGGTGATCGTGTCACATTCTGGGAGTGAGCCCACAATTGCAGGCTCAATCGTGTTCTTTATCACAGCCAAACATTTTTATTGGCAGTGACCCACTTCCTATGCTCAAGGTCATAGGACATCTTTTGAGATTCAAAATCCCTCTCTCTAGTTGCTCAAGCGGCATCAGCCTCGTTTGTCTCACTCACCGGTGCCACATGCTTAGTGGGACACGGTGAGGTGACTACCCAGTCCACCTCGGCCAAGATGAAGGCCAGGTCAATCTTTTTCTTCCACTCCGTGTAGTTGTCACATTTGAGAGTGGGGATCTCTTTGATACAGCTCATCAAGTTGTATCCGTCTGGCAACACAATTCATATAGAGTGAGAACATAAATAATAACAATAATTGCATGCCTTCATTCCAATGTTGGTCAAAATTAAAACATACAACTGTTTATACATTAAATCTATATCACCGTTAGGCAGAAATAAAAATAATGCATAAAATCATTAAAATTACGATATTGTTATTAACAACGTTGGTCAGAAAATAACAATATCATAATCATGTCAAAATCTCTTTTTCTCCAATTAAATATCACGTTGGTTCAAAATAACTAGAGAATAAATAGTTTCTTTAGCGGCGGAAACTTAAACATAATTTATGAATTTTACCCACAAGGAAAATTCACATTTCTACTATTTTCTTTGAGCCATTTTTCATTTTCCAGAAATAGACATTTTTCATTTTTCATTTTCCAGAAATAGACATTTACTGGAAACCAAAAAAGCGGCCCGGCCTGCCTTGCGCGCGCGCCCGTGGCTCCCACTCAGGCCGCAACCTAGGCCTGGGCCGGGAAAGCGGCTCGCCCGCTCGCGCCCGCCTGGGCTGGCCTCCGGCCCGTGGCTTCTGCACCGTCGATGCAGATCGGACGGCCGAGCGAGCGCTTCGGAGGATCAAAACGGCGACGCGATGGCCAGCACCCGAAACCCTAGCCATTTGTTTCTTCCGCCCTCTCTCACTCGTAGCGCTCCTTTCTTCTCCCCTCAGCGCAGCAATAGCGAGCGACCGAGCGAAGACGAGAGTTCAAGGCGGACACGACACAGGGGATGGCGGCTCTACCGTGGCACCCATCGCCGGTGCACGCGTGCGGCCGGAGCCACGCGTGGCACCACGGTGGTGCCCTTTGGCCAGAGCCCGAGGCAGATATCGTGCACGGCGCTTCTCCCGCCCCGGCGGCTGGGGTTGACTTCCCGCGCGGCATCCATGCGACGGCCGGTGGTGGATACGGAGCGGGCGGACCCTAGGTAGGAGCTTCTTCCCCTTGTCCAAATCACTCTCTTCCCCTTCCTCATCGCGAGTTAGGGTTAGGGTTTTGTTAGGGTTCGGATTAACCCGATTCGGTTTTTCTCTCAGTTTTGATTCGAGATCGGCGAGATAAGCCCCTTTCCCTCTTCCCCTTCTTCTCTTTTGGATCTTCTTTCTTTTCTTTTCGGAGTTGAACCGATTTGGGGTTGGGGTTAGGGTTAGGGTTACTGTTCTTCTTCTACGATGGGTTAGGGTTCGGTTGAACTCTCTGCATCTCGATTTCTTTTTCGATTAGGGTTAGGGTTTCAATCTGAAACGGATCGAACCCTCTGTTCCTCTTTGATTTCTTTTCAATTCTCTATCCCATACTAGATCTACACACTGTTTAACCTGGCTCTGGTACCATTGTTGGGAACACAGTACCTCTGAAACGTAGATCAGGGGATAAACATCTTACTTAGATGGAGAAATTGATTCCTCTAATTCGCCCTAGCGCAGTTGCGCCGCAGCCACGTGGACGCCGGTGTCGTGGGAGCTCGGCGTGGTGGAGTCCAGCGTAGTGGTGGCGATACAGAGGCGACGGTGACGCGAGATGCCGCGGTCCGGTGGTGACGGCGAAGTCAGTGGGTCTTCCCGTCGCTGGCAGCACCCTCTTTAGATTGGGTTAGGTTTTACTGTTAGTGGGTCACGGCGGCTCAGGTCAACCTCGTAGTTAGAGTCCTGGTCCCCACCTCTCTTTATAGTGCTGTGCGACGGGGGTCTACCAACCTTGGAGTGGTTGGACGTCCTCGATTAGGGCGTTGATCGAAAGGCCAATTGGTGGAGATCAAACTAACAGTTGTCTGCTCCCCTAGAGAACCTGGAGGAGGTGTGGCATTGGCCAGACATGGGTTTGATCGGCCTGGAAACAATAACATGGACAATAGTAAGAAAGATCAGAACAAGAGCAAAACCACTAGTGAAATCTTAAAGAAAAATCTCAAAAATGCGAGAAGAAGTGATTGTTGCTCGTGTGATCCGTAGCAAGTACCAAGTATGCTGAACAACGTTGGTACAGTAATGATTAACAAAATGGTCTAGCGCATTGAGGAGAGCAGTAAATCAGTCCGTACCAGCACCTTTGGCGCAAGAGTTGCCCATGGCTCAACCACTCCCTCTTCCCAGCAATCCTCTGCAATTGAGATCAATCCTAATGCCATCAGCAAATAACGAAGGCTGCGTTGTTAAGAACTTCGAGAAATCTTTCATATTAGCAGGAAACAAAATTAAGGGTCTCAATTTCAAAGAATGACCAAACCCCACCGCACGAACAGGTAGATGAAAAGAGAAATCCAGGAACTCTTGCAACCGTGCAAGCCCACGATCGCCGACGCCGTACACGCGCTACGAAAAAGGAACAAGCTTTCCTGTGGATTGTGTGAGATTAGAAGACTGGAAGAGCCGCGACAAGAAGATGGAGAGACAGAGATCACCTCGAGATGCTTTCTCGGCGAAGAAACCCTCACCGCAGATGGGGTTTTGTACGGAGCTGTGCAGGGGAAAGGTGAAGCCGGGGTCTGCGCGACACGAGGAGGGTTTTGTGGACACGAGCATGGGGAGGGGATGCCTCTCCACAAACATAAATTGGATATAAAATTCATCGGATCCTAACTTATATGGAGGTGTCATCTAACAAAATTCCCTATTTAGCGCTGAAACATAAAACTTCCCAATAAAACACTGGTTTTTTTTGTTCTCCAAAAGGTAGCAACACCGTTAGATGTGACCTCTAACGCCAGTCAATTTGATGGAGAAAATATTGTTTTACCCTTATTATTTTCTGGTGTGACACCAATGTTACATTAAAGTGATTTTCTTAACAGATTTTTTAAACGTGCCATTTTTACATTGAATATATTTTTACAGTATATAATATTTTTACATTGAACATTTTTTTTGCAAATAATTTATGAACTATGACACAATTTTTTGGACAATGTACTATACATGAAAAACAAGGGTACAACAGTCTTTTCCCTCCAAGTTAACAGTGATAGAGGTTAGATCTAATGACTGCTATTTAGGGAACCAAAAATAGAGTCAGTCATGTATTCGAGAATTTTTATTTTTCATTGCTAAATAAGGAATTGTATCATTTTTCTAATGCTAAGCATGGAATTTTCTCTTACAACAGTGTCACTTGTGTCCTCAACTCTTGGTTTTTTATGTTTGGCTCCTAAATTTTTGTACAAGGGTATAATCTAGCCCGAAACTTATACAAGGGTACAATCAGTGTCATATATGGATGGATGTCAAGTTTGGAGACCTAGATAACATCGTTGTACTAGTTTAGGATCTCGATATCAAAATTTAAGAGTTAAGGACATGAGTAACACCATCGTATAAGTTCGAGGACTAAAATATTAAATTTTAAGGGTTAGAATTCTATATGACACCATTGTTCAAGTTTAGGAACCACTCGTGAATTTTACGCTAAAGCTAGGGTCAAGCAAAATCTAGTGTGATATTCTTTTTAAAGAAGATTCTTTGTATGATAAGTTGATATGCTTTCTTAAATGGCTGTTTTTGACATTTTTTTCTGTTTATATTTGACACTGCACATCAGCGGTTGTACCATTAGATACAATATTGGCTGCACATTCAGCACCTCCAATTCTTGACTTCCCCTCGGCAACTATTAACGATGAGATCAATGATCTAAAGTAAATGTACTCGTTGAGAGTGTCGAGGAGCATCACTCCCCTTGCAGATAATGACCACAACTTGATCGTCTGCCAATGAAAATCGATGCCTACAACGGTGATCTCGTCGTCACAATCACCGAAATCATCTCAGGTAATAAGATCTCAACCAAAAATTATCTGATTTCGTTGGTAAATTTATCTTGACTAAAACTAAACGAATTACTGAATTAGATCTAAAGAACTTGTTGCAGATATAAGAGAAAAGGAAAGAGAGGGAACTAGACGACTGTGGAGGTGGCGCGGCGGCGCGGAGAAAAAGGACGCTACTTTCTAGTTATGCTTATATATATACCACGAGGTCCAAATCTTCTTTAGAGCAAACATGCGTTAAATCTTTACGATGGAATTACCTTTAGAAATACGACGGCTTCGTAATATCAGCTCTAAACTTCTGCTCTATTTCCGACTCGTAAGATTAGTCAATCGGCAGGCAATGTCATATCTGCAAGTCTGACGAAACGAGCGACTAGACTACGTGCGGATTTCCGAGTCCGGTCACCAATCGGTTCCTTTCCTCTCCTCCATATAAATCCCCCTGAGTCTCCCTCCGGTGATCACCAAACTTCTCATCTAGATCCTCGCCGTGTCAACCGCCACGCAAGCTGAGACCGTCGTCAGCTCGCTCCATGGCCAACCCAGACCCCACGCAGATGACCTCGGTGGCCACCCGGTCGCGGCGCTCTCACGACGTCATCCAAGAACACCGCCGCACCGGGACGGCGATCAGCGGCAAAGCGAGCCGCAGCCATCTCGGCGATGGTCGACGACGTCGCCGCCACCGCCGAGGGTAGGCCCAGGCTGCAGCGAAAGCGGCGCATGGCCAACGCCATGGGTACAAGCAGAGGGGCGGGGTCGGCCAGGCGAAGCGCGGGCGTCGTCGCCGTATGCGCCACATACACGGGCCAGGCCGTCGCCGTCAAGTCCCTCCACCGCAGGGCCGGCGGAGCTGCGCCGCCGACGCGTCTGTCCGAGGCCTGCTTCACGGCTGCCGGCGGGGGCCACTCGTCGCGTTCGCACCGTCGCGCGCGCCGGGCACCACGGACTACTCCATCGTCATGGACTACGCCGGGCCGAGCCTCGGGGCCGCTCATGGCAGACCGCGGCGGACGGCCGCTCCCGGAGGCCGTGGCGCGCCGCGCGTCATGCGGCAGCTGCTGGCAGCGCCGAGGAGATGCACCGCACGGCGTCGTCCACCGAGACATCAAGCCCGACAACATCCTCGTGGGCGGCGGGCGGCGCCGCCGTCAAGATCTGCAACTACGGGGTGGCCAAGTCTGTGGCCGAGAAGGACCCGCCGCAGGCCTTCGCTGGAACCATGGTGTACATGGCGCCAGAGGTGCTGGTGAAGAACGCCGACCACGACACGCTCTCCGACGTGTGGTCGCTCGGCTGCGTCATGGTGGAGATCCTCACCGGCAAGCCACCGTTCGCAGTCGCAGTGAAGGACGAGGACGACGAGGCCAAGCAGCTCTTCAAGATCTTCGACGTGCTCGGCGTGCCGTGCAAGAGGGCGTGGCAGGCCCTCAAGCCCCAGGTACATGACGACAAGGTGCAGGTGTGGCGAGCGCGGCAGCTGCGAGACCGTCACGGCAGCAGCCGCAACCGGCTGCGTGAGCTGGTCTCGGAGGAGATCCTGTCGGGGGACGGATTCCATGTCCTAAAAGGGCTCTTGACTTGTGATCCCGAGAAGCGGCTGACGGCGGCCGCCGCGCTCCAGTGCCCGTGGTTCACAGACAATGTTGACGACGCTGTTGCTTCGGAGAGGACGACCGCGGTTACCATGATCGCTGCCGTGGCCAGCAAACCGTGGTCACTGGCCACGTCATTCGTTAGGCGTGCTCTAGGATTGCTGCAGTGATTGTCCTGTGCATGTGATGAGCCAAATAGAATCATCCATGTGACGATTAGCTGCTGTCGTCGATGTTTTTTTTTAAAAAAAGTTTGTCAACGCAACTCTTATCAACAGAGCGTGTTTTGTTCAGGGTTTTCAATTTCGGTATTAGAAAAAAAAAATCACCCCCAAAATTACCTAAACTCACGAATTTCGGCCGAATTTTTTTTAAAGGCTTACACATGAAGTATGCTTTTTCTAAAAAAAATAGATCAAAAACAAAGATTAGCATTCTTGAAGAATATGTAACATAAACGATAGAAACTATCAGTCTAGAGTTATATATAGCAAAATTATTAGTGTATTATAAATTTTTTAATTTTGTTTCGGCCACCACCGAAATTCATGAAATTTCACAGAAATTTTGAACCCTGGTTTTGTTCGGTGACTTTATTCCTGAGCCCAGGTGCTCAAAGTTTACAGTGGGGTTACAAACGAGAAGGAGAAAGATGGGGGTACAAGAGGTCCGGTCGGACTCTGGTCAGAGGAGCCGAGAGTGACGGGAGCCCCGCTATGCGCTAAGTGTTTGAGCGTGTGCTCGTGGTTTGAACTTGGAGGTTCTGTTGTTGTGGACTAGTGAACTGATCGATCGAATGAATCTATCTATTGGGAGAGAGCGCATCCCCTTTTATAGATGAAGGGGGTGGCCTTACAAGTGAGATGGAGAGAGTACGTATGCTACTAAGCCTTGTTGCCCATGTCGATGGGTACAGGATGATTGTAGGCGTCCACAATACTGTTGAATGTCAGATGTACGTGGGAGGTTGTGTTGTCTTCTTCGGATATGACAGACGTCGGTGCCTGCCACACTGTTGATACCTGAAGGCATGCAAGGGGTTTTTACCATGTTCGTCTGGTACGGTAAATGCCGATGCCCAGAGACATGTGGGGGGAGCCTTACCGTATGGGAGTTAATGGCGCCCACAATACTATAGGGGAAAATGTCGGCGCCTACAACACTGTTTGGGTTTGTCGTGCCAGGGATGTCGCAGAGTACTGTTTCTGCAGGTGTACAGGGTACGGTCCCCGGTATTGCGGTTTGACTTGTGCGTCCTGCCTTACTTTCTTCGTCCGTTCCCTAGTCTTAACCGAGCGGGTGTCCTCGGTCGGTTAGTCCTAGTCGGCTCTGATCGCGCCAGTCGAAGAAGAGTAGTGAGCAGGGGTTTGGCGCATGCTCGGTCGAAGACGCAGGTTGAAGTCGAAAGCGATGTTTGGCCGGGCTTTCCGGTCGGAGAGGCCGTCCGGAGGCGGGCTGGAGACCGAAGCAAGCGCTCTGGTCAGAGAGGTGGGCCAGAGTCGGAAGCGGGTGCCATTCCTTCTCGGCCAGGCCTTCCGATCGGAGATTGGATCGCCCCTCTGGCCTGTCGTTTAGGTACTTGGGCCGGCCCATGAGTTACACATTGTCTGCTTGGGCTGAGCCTTTGTTGGAAAGCCGATCCATAAGGGACCCCAGATTTATGAACCCGACACTACCCTTCATCTGGAAACAAAAGCTAAACCTAAGAACTGATACCTATCTTTTTTAGATAGATAGAAATACTCAATATATCTTCGGTTCTAGATGGGACTGTGGGTTTGTCAGCTAGGAGTCGGAGCAATGCGTTGGGGAGCATAATCCAACGAATACGTGGCGCCATGTTAATTAGCTACGAAGGAGATAAATTAGACTAAGTTGATACTTCAGAGGATGAACTAGACTCTATAAAAAATATTTTTAAATTATCTGACGTGTCCATAAAGATTCATACAGTTTTATGCTAGGCACCATAAGATAGAGCATAATTTTTTAAAAAAATAAAACTATTTTTTATTTTTTAGGTAAAACAATTCTCTTAAATTCTCTAAGATCAAACTAGATTTTATGATTTTTAATTGCATTAAATGTAAAATTATTTAGATAAATTTATGAATTTCTATGGTTTTCGTTAGAAAAATATTTCTAGTCTGATTTACCCTCGGATGAGTTTTATAGTTTAGAGAGAAAATTGGAGGAAAAAGTCCACATTACCTTTTCAACTTTTGCGAAAGTCTGTTTTGCCTCTCTGAACTCTAAAATCGGGTAAACCACCTCCTGAACTTTTAAAACCATTCGTTTTACCTCATTGACCGGTTATAAGCGGTTTTCAAAGGAGATTTTGTCTTTGCCTTTTTTCTTTATTTCGGCTGAATCTTTGAAAAATCACAGTAAATCATAAAAAAATCATAAAATGGAAAAATCCAATTTTGTTGGACTCCACATGGTGAAATTTTCATGGTGAGATAATTATTGTATGATTGAACTGTAGTAAAAATTTCATAATCATCGGATCATGTATAACTTAGTTATAGATTTATTTAGGTGTATGCTTAAATAAATCTATAACTAAGTTATACATGATCCAATGAGTATAACAATTTTACTACAGCTCAAGCATACAATAATTAACCCACCATAAAAATTCCACCACAATTGGACAATAGAAACTGCAGTTATGAATTAATTAAAAAAAGCATAGATATAAAGGTACAACAAATTTTTTTTATTAAAGCATACCATATTATATATTCACTGTGTAGATTTACTCATGTGTAGTGCAGCAAAATTGGATTTTTTATTTTATGATTTTTCTGTGATTTACTATGATTTTTCAAAAATTCAGCCAAAATAAATAAATAAGAAAAAGATAAAATCTCCTTTGAAAATAGCTTATAACCGGTTAAGGAGGTAAAATGAACGGTTTTAAAAGTTTAGGGAGGTGATTTACTCGGTTTTAGACTTTACAGAGAAAAGGCAAATTTTCGTAAAAATTGAGGGAGCTGGGCTTTTTCTAAAATTGGATGACGTCGGAGCTGAATTGAACTTTTTCCGGAAACCAGGCCGGGCCAAAACTGAGGAACCTTCCAGCCCAAAGTTTCTCTCAAACAAAAACAACGGCTCGGGCGCACACCGAAAACCAAACAGGCCAACAAGTACTACAGTACACTGTACTTCGGCGTCCCCTGGGCGAATATCTCGAGAATGATTCTGTTCCCACATCCCACCGCAGAAAAGCAAGTCCATACCCACATAAAACAAGCCCGCCCGTCTCTTTCGCCACCCCAAGACGCCAGACGCCTCTCCTTCTCCTCTCCTTCCCCATCCGCCCATCGCCCCTCCCCTGCGGTCTGCGCTCCCACAGCCTCACCCCTGCGCTCTCGCCGATCCGCATCGCCCGTTATTGGAAGGAACGATGGAGCAGACCTTCATCATGATCAAGCCCGACGGCGTCCAGCGGGGCCTGGTAATCTCATCTGCTTCTTCCTTTTCCCCGTTTTCCGTAGAAGAGTCTGATATAGGAGTCCCGTTCGCGGGGACAAGTTTTGGTTTCGTTTGGGTTCCAGAGACTTTGTTGATCCCGGCGGTTTGATGTTTGTTCACGGGGACGAGTTTTTATTTCGTTTGGGTTTCCGCGTCATGTTTCATGTTTGGTGCGCAGTTTTTAACTGGCAGTTCTGTGCAGATCGGGGACATCATCAGTAGGTTCGAGAAGAAAGGGTTCTATCTTAAAGGTATGGCTGTTTCTTTTTGTTCTCCAATTGATTGCTGGACCTCATACTCTGTTTCATTTCTGTTACATTTCCTAGTTATACACATGAACTTGCCTGCTGATTAGACAAAGGTTTCATCTGCGTATTCTGGATTTCTGGTGATATCTTTAATTTGTTCGATGTATCTATGTTGGGTTGCATTTTTTTGTGAAAATAGGTGTTAGGCCGGTATGATTGCCATCTGAAAAAGGATGTTGGTCATGAAAGTAGGCCTGTCCAGCTTACCCCATATTCGGTTTGTTCGGTTTTTTTTTTCCAGCCGGAACAATATTTTTCTATCACAATAATTCAGCCGGAACAGTGTTTTTCAACCAGTTTCAGTCAAGTTTCAGACCAGCGAACGGGATCATGTGAAGATTTGATTTGATTAAAAACCATTATTTTTCTGTCACTAGCCCATGATGGCATCTCCGTTCGCGTGCCTAACCCGGCTTGATCCGCTTCTTTTTTTTATCCGGAATAGTGTTTTTCTCTCATAAATTTCTTTAGATTCATCCAAAACCATCCAAATTTCTCCAAATTCCTCCCAACAAACGGGGCCATAAGTCCCTTTTTATCTGGGCAGCTGATCGTCGGTACTCTGGAATTAAGTTCAGCTGCTGTTGCATTATTATAAAGTCTAATCATGAATTAGACCAACCACAGGTCAGGACTATTGTTAAAAAAATGAAGATACTAGGATAAATGTTGGACGTGGAAGCAGGAATATTGTGTGCGGATTTGATACGATTGAAAACCATTATCTTTCCATCACTAGCCCATTGGTTGGCCCCTTTTTACCTGAGCAGCTGATGGTCACAGTAATCTGGAATTAAGTGCCTGCTGTTGCATTGTAAATTCTACTCATGAATTAGATCGATGGACCACAAATCAGCACTATTGTTTTTTTTAAACAATGGCAGGAGCTTTGCCTTTCAATTAAGACAAATAAAGTTTATATACAAGCAAAGGTAACCAAACGTGGTGCCAAACACCACAAAAAGTTAGCCCACCCACGCAACGCGGTAGAGTACACACTACCATGAGTCATCGTTACCGAGCGTGGTTGCAAAGCAGCCAGCAGCTCCGACTTCCCATGGCAAACACCGACGACCCATCCTAAGATTTCAGACCAACGGGCCCGAAACAGGAGGCTGCAACAGGTCATCGTTGCCAAGCTCAACGGCTCCTCGAAGAGCCGCTCCGACTTCTGCCTTGATCCCACGCCCGCCCACTTGGCGGCGATTGCCGAGCCTCTAAAGCTGAAACCCAAATAGTCGGAGAAGGAGGGTTCGACCTGCGTCATCGTTGCGAGCTACATCCCACGATGCAGCAGCTCGACTTCCCGATGCGTAACTCACCGTCTCGCGTCAACCGGGCGCCAAGAGGCGAGGGCATCCGCCAAGGAGACATCACGGCCGAGACGAATTTCCACGATGATGCCTTCGGAAGGATACGATCACGCATAACGCCGCCGTCGCTTGTCCAGGAATGGACCGGGTTTCCACCCGTGGAAGACATGGCTGGGGGCACAAGAACACGACGCCCCCAACAAGGAAAACGGCGCCCACAGGAGTCGCCATCGCCAAGGCTTTCGCCCGAGGTGCCCCTAGCACAAACGTCGAGCCAAGATGCCGTACCGTAGTCTGTCGCCACCGTCGTCGTCACCGCCATCCTGCAGAAGCCCCTCCAGAGGGGCTTCGCGCCACCCGATTGCTCACAACAACCGCGACACCAATTGCGTCGGCCGCCACCCCCTCCGACCGGGCAACATGCAGAGGTGGACTTACCCTGCCATGCGCGTCACCCTGCCGCACGCCGAAGCCGTCGCCAGCCGTCGTCGCCGGCACAAGCACCCGCCGTCGACGCTGCCGACCTCCGCCAGCCTCAAAAAAATGATTCTAGGATATGGATTCCAAAAGCAGATATTCCTGACTGTATGCTCTGAATGTTGAAACTACGTCACCATTTATGCCTTTCATCAGGTTTTGAACATTCTCTTTCCGTTTCAGCATCAAGGAAATTTATAGAGCACAACAATATATTATATATAACAAAAGGCAATCAATCCTTGGCCAGTCGTTATATTGATATTATGTGTATCCTTGCAGGGATGAAGTTTATGAATGTGGAGAGGTCATTCGCACAGCAGCACTATGCTGACCTTTCTGACAAGCCCTTCTTCCCTGGGTTGGTGGAGTACATCATTTCTGGCCCTGTCGTCGCAATGGTGTGGGAGGGGAAGGACGTTGTATTGACTGGCCGCAGGATCATTGGGGCCACTAGGCCTTGGGAGGCAGCCCCTGGTACCATTCGTGGGGACTATGCTGTGGAAGTTGGCAGGTGAACATTCCATTCTTTGTAATTAATTGTACTTCATTGCGACAATTTTAGTTTAATAGCTTTGCTGCTATTGAAGTCAACCAGTCCTTGTCTTGGCAATTTTCTAGTTCAGTCTAAATAAACGTGTGGTTTATGAATTCAACCAAGGTCAATCAAATAAGATGACTCGAATAATCCATGTGAGCGATGATATGCTCCATTCTGAAATACTTATTGAAGCACTATTGTTTATTTGTGTTTATTGGGAAAAAAAAGAACATAGAGGCAAATAATGCCGGCTGCTTGTGATGATAAATGGTTTGTTTAGAGTAAGAAGTGTTATGATCTCTGGTACATGTCACATCATGCAAAACTAGTCTCGATTGTGTGGTCTTACTGAAAAATAAAATCATGGTTGCTGGATCTCTGCAAGTGTGCTCCTGTACTAAATCTGTCACCTCTCGTATAGGAATGTCATCCATGGAAGTGACTCCGTGGAGAACGGAAAGAAGGAGATCGCTCTCTGGTTCCCTGAAGGTCTGGCTGAGTGGAAGAGCAACCTTCATCCCTGGATCTACGAGGCTTGAGCAGTTGAGCTTCGCGGTATTGGTACTGGATGCCTGCTTCCATGAAAACCGAGTTTTGTTTGAGTTGTCTATTGGCTCTGGCTATAGAGTCATAATTTCGTGCTTTGTGCTACATCGTAGTTAAGTCTGCCCGAACTTATGTGGCATTTGAGTTTCTGCCTTTGTGCTCGGTTTAATGTACTGTGATTGTGAACCAACTAATGTGATCTGAAATAAAACTTGCATGCCAAGTTTGTGTTCTATAACTGTCAGGTCACTGCGATTATACTTGCTTTAAGCGCTAGAAGCTTGAGGATCCTGCCTGGTTTGATGCACTGTGAATGTCAAGCAACTAATGTGATAATAAGCCTTCGGCCAATCTTTTCCCCCCGAATTCTAGATCAGTGTAATTTCATTTGCTTTTCGAACAGTTTTGACACGCACTGTTGCTCGTCTTCATTTCACATATATATGAGGTGGCTAGTAACTCTGAATTGAAAGGGAATTGTGAACATACAGAACAAAATTTCAGATAGCAAGTCGTGCGTGGTAGTGTAGGCTTTGGTATAGGTAATCAAACGAATCAAACACCTTGGTGATGGATGCAAGATAGCATGTGCAAGGGCAATAAGCTGGTCATCTTAATAAAGCAGAGGGCCCAGCATGCAACCATGGTCAGCAATGACCGCTCAAAAAAAAAATTGTCATCTCTACCAATAAGACTCGTTGACGTGTCTTGTGCATGCTCTCTTACTCCTGGGTCACGGCATGCAACCATGGTTCACTTCCCCCACCACACCACACCGGTGGACGTGTCTTGTGCATGCTCTCTTACTCCTGGGTCAGGAACATGTGGCTCAAAACCTCCACCTTTCCAGACCTGTAATTCTCACGGCAGTCAAATGGCCGCATGGCACTGCGAGTTCCCCGACCCCATCTCCTGTTTGTCATCGCCGCCGTCGCCATGGCACTGGCCACCGCCATGATCTCTTCTCCACAGCTCCGGTACTGCCCCTCTCCTCGAGGTAGGCATCGTCGGCGTGGACGCCACAGCCCCGCAGCGGCTACCGTGGCCGCCTCGGCGACGCCGCGGTCGGAGGAGAACATCGTCATCGTCGGCGCAGGCGTCGCGGGGCTAGCCACGGCGGTCGCCCTGCGCCGGCTGGGAGTGGGCGCCGCCGTGCTGGAGCAGGGCGACGCCCTGCGCGCGGGCGGCACGTCCCTGACGCTGTTCAATAACGGGTGGCGCGTGCTGGACGCCATCGGCGTCGCCGACGAGCTCCGGTCAAAGTACCTCCGCATCCAGGGGTGCGTTCCTCTTCCCTCTTGTTGCGTTCAACTTCAACCTCAACTCAAGCTGCCGTCGTTGCTCCGTTGCGTTCATGGATCGTTGTGTGTTCTGAGCTGCACTGTGAGGTTCCAGCTGACCGCAGGATGAGGATGCGATCGCCGGCGGCGGGCGGGCGGGACCTGCGCGAGTTCTCCTTCGAGGAAGAAGCTCCCGGGTACTGCAGTTTCCATCCCCTGATGAACATCGTGAATGAATGCATGGCTTCAAGTATGTAGTAACTGGGAAGCTGCTGCTTCGATTGCTTGGCACATTTGGCAGACAGGAGGTGCGCGCGGTGGAGAGAAGAGTGCTTCTCGAGATGCTTGCTTCTAAGCTGCCACCAAGCGCCATATCGTTCTCATCGAAGCTGAAATCGATTTCAGAGCAAGGGCGTGCAGGCACCCTGCTCGAACTGGAGGACGGGAGGCAAATTCTCTCCAAGGTGAGTGAGAGAACTAACAATTCTCGTGCAGTTTTGAATTTCGATTCACCAAAACCGAACAACGGAACAAGCTTGGTTTTGATGTTTTTTACATACGAATGAAAAGAACTGCCTCTGCCTGTCTGCAGATTGTGATCGGCTGCGACGGAGTGAACTCGCCCATCGCGAGGTGGATGGGCTTCTCGGAGCCCCGGTACGTCGGGCACATGGCGTTCCGGGGCCTCGCGGAGTACGCCGACGGCCAGCCGTTCGAGCCCAAGGTGAACTACATCTACGGCCGAGGCGTCCGTGCCGGTTTTGTCCCCGTCTCCCCAACCAAAGTCTACTGGTTCATCTGCTTCAACAGGCCAGATCCAGGTACTGTATATCTCCTATCTCCGGAGAACCCCACTTCTCTGCAATTTCGTGAAGCGACGTCCATCGAGCTATTAAGTCGAGCAATGTGTTCCCGTGCGTCCCTTCACATCCGCATAGAAAACGCAGACAAAGCTATCGCAGGAAACCATTATGTCGGGCCCTTGCACTTCACCTTCTGCACCTTCCTTGCGCTTCACCGGCAACCTATAAAATGATGAAAACGCATCTAGATCAGCCTCAATTCTTCCTGGCTCCCCGACTGCATCGCTCCGACGTCGAGTTGCTCGGCCATTTGGATCTCTTCCTGGATCTCCGGCTGCATCGCTACGATTTTGAGCTGCTCGGCCACGAGGACCGCGGCCATCCCCGAGAGGCCGAGACGGAGCCTGCGGCAGGGCCCTCGGGGGAGGCCGAGGAGGCTGCGCGGGAGCAGAGGCCGCGACCAGGGCGGATGCAGCCAGGGCCAGCGCACGGGAGATCAAGGCCACGTATCGCCGTCTGGTGCTCGCCGTCCATCGTCGGACGCCGCCCCACCACCCGCCTCCTTCCGACGAGGTCTTCATCTGCGCCCATGGCTTGCTCGAGTTTGACGCTCTCCGACCCTAACAAGCGCGCGGCTACGACTGCCTCCTCCTCTCCGCCGCCGCGAGGTGAAGGCTCTTCGCCGAGATGTTGGTAAGTGGAATGGATTGGTGCGGCAGTAATCGGAGGAGAAGCGGCGGATACGGTGCAGGAGATAAGGGACGAGTGGATAAAAAGACATCCGCGCATGGTGCGTCCAAGCATGACTCATGAGGGCAGTCGACTTTTTTTTTTATAGATGTGCAACGGCCCTGCACGACCCGATGGGGGTCGGGCCGACAAGGCACGACGTACTCTGCGGGTCGTGCCACCATGGGCTTCGTGCCTGGCCGATGGCCCAGGCACGGCCTGCTGGGCCGTTTTTCGTGCCGGGCCGGTCCGAGAAGCACGGCTAATCCAGCGTGTCGGGCCGGCCCAAGGCCCACTACACCGACAGAGAGAGAGGGGGGGAAGGCCAGGGCGCCAGGCTGCCGTCATTGCTTTGGAAGGCCATGGACGACGCGACCTCTCCATCCGCGGAGGATGAGCAATGAGGAGGCCGGATCCGCGGAGAATGAGACCGGATCCGCGCAGAGGAGGCATGTGGAGGAGCAGCAGCGCGTGGCGGTGAGGCGGGTTGCAGTGGAGGTGGGATTCGGCGAGCCGCGGGGAAGTAGGAGCTCGAGGCATCGACGGCCGGCGGAGCGGAGCTCGAGCACGCCGCGCTCGCACCCAAGGCGCGGCCTCGTGGAGGGACGGGAGGAGAGGAGCCCGAGGCAGGTCGCGGATGGCCGCCGTGGCGTTTCTGCAACTTGTGCGCGAGGAGGAGGCGAGCGACTATAGGGCGGAGAAGCAGGTGAACGGCGGGGAAGGAGAAGGTCGCGTCCACGCCTCGCGTGTGCGGTGCGGGGAATGGGAGGTGGCGGCGGGGAGGGGGAGGGGAAGGGAGTTAGGGTTCGGGGTGGGAGGCGTGGGGGCTGCTGGGTGGCGGGGCCATATGAGGAGGGGGGCGGCGGGGACGCTGCCTGGCCGCTGGGCATGGGGGAGGAGGAGGAGGAGTGAGGGAGAGGGGGAGGCCGGGTCACCGGGCCGACCGACCTTGACTCGGCCGTCGTGCGTGCAGATCCACGGGCCGAGTAGCGGCCAGCTGTGCACGGCTGCTCCCTCGGGCAGGCTAGCCAGAGCCCCGCGTCACCGGGCCGGGCCGTGTTCGTGTCGGGCTAAAAAAAGGGGCTTCGTGCCGTGCCCTCGTGCCTCGGGCCGCATGGACATCTATACTTTTTTTTAAGGATACGGTGGCATTTTTTTGGGAGCGGATGGATTGTGGGCCCTCAGTCCCTCACGTATGTTATATATATATATATATATATATATTGTGCAGTTTTTTTTTACTTTTAATACGAGTATCGGCTCCATATGATCTCTGCTATCTTGTTTCTACTCAGAAGTATACATTAGTCTGACGCACGCGTATACGTGAGCTCCAATGCTTATGATAGCCAGAGTATTGTCGAGTTTCATAATACTCTTATTTTTTAACTAAATGGTGATAATATTGTACAGTGGTTTTTTTAAAAAGTAGACCTGTAAGATAATTGTTACTTTTTATCATATTCACGCTATTATCCATTTTATATCAAACTTATATTTAACTCTTACATCTAACGGCAACACTCTGGTGTTGTTAGATACTACTATCAATTCTTCATGTGTAACTTTTCTCATCTATCATACAACACAGTTCCCGCACCAACCCGCGGGGTATCTAGTTTATTCAGACAACAAATGCCAGGGTTGCTCAGATGAAGGTTTGTCCCAGGAAAACGGCATCACTCGCTGACATTAATGGCGTGGATGGTCCTGGTGTTGTTGGCAGGGCCTAAGATCACCAACCCCGCGGCGCTCAAGAGCGAGGCGCTGGAGCTCGTCCGCGGCTGGCCATCGGACCTCCTGGCGGTGATGCGCAGCACGCCCGAGGGCGCCGTGGTGAGGACGCCGCTGGTGGACCGGTGGCTGTGGCCCGGGCTGGCCCCGGCCGCGTCGAGGGGCGGCCGGGTGGTGCTGGCCGGCGACGCGTGGCACCCCATGACGCCCAACCTCGGCCAGGGCGCCTGCTGCGCGCTCGAGGACGCCGTCGTCCTGGCTCGCCGCCTCGCCGACGCCGGCGGTGCCGGCGCGGACGGAGCCCAGGCCCAGGCTGCCATGCGCGCGTACGAGGCGGAGCGGTGGGCGCGCGTGTTCCCGCTCACGGCGCGCGCGGGGCTGGTGGGCGCGCTCGTGCAGTGGGAGAACGCGGCGGTGTGCGCGGCCCGCGACGGCGTGGTCATCCCGAGGCTCGTCAGGCTGGGTCCGTTCCTCGAGCACACCAATTTCGAGTGCGACCTGCTCGAGCCGGCGCCGCAGTCGACATGAGACAGACGTGCACACCAGCTTTCTCCTGTACATCATTGCCCGACTCTGCTGATTCACACTAGTAATTAGTACTCCCTCCATCCCAAATTGTAAGTCATTCCAAGAATTTTGGAGAGTCAAAGTTTTTCAAGTTTGACCAAATTTATATAACAAAATAATAATATTTATCATACCAAGTAAGTATCATTAGATTCTTCATTAGTTATATTTTCATATTATACTTATTTGATGTCATCAATCTTTGTGTTTCTCTTTATAATTTTAGTCAAACTTGAAAAAGTTTGACTCTCCAAGATTCTTGGAATAACTTACAATTTGGGATGGAGAGAGTAGTATATTAACCTCAGATTGGCATGTGCTCCCTCCGTTCCAAGATGTGTCTACAGATATCTGAATTATCTATACGTTTGATCCTTTTCTTACCTTGATTGAGATAATAATGTAGGCCTTCAGCTATCTGAATTCCAGTCGAACTGTGAATGACAGTGGATCTGCAAAGTCGACCTAGATAGCATCAGGAGCGATTCAGAGTCTGGCACGCAGCATCCTTGAGCTCTCTCACTGTGAAGGAAAGTTCTTACAAAATCTGAAAGCACAGCGAATATGTACTCCTTCGCTCTGTCCTTGATTCTGTGCAGACATGAGAACAAGGCAAGCATTACAATATATGAGAAAATTCTTTATTTGACACTGAAAAAACTTGTTGTTCCCAATTTAACACCTAAAGTTGAAATGTTCCTTATCCGACCTCGGCTGAAATTTACGTTCCCAGAATGGCACTACTGTCAGAATGGCCATGTAACGGTGTTAACTGAGACGCAAAAAGATGATTTTGCCCCTCCTTCAGCTTTTTAGTCTGGACACCTTCTCTCTTGTACAGGAATTATTGTTGGCCGGCACGGAGGTGTTTTAACGCCATCTTTTTTTTTAATTTAACATGGTTGCTGTTCCTGGAGTACAAAAATGATTTGGTGTTTTTTTTTTGACAATTTTTGCAGCATTTTTAGGCCATTTGTGCACCTTTTTTTTAGACAATTTCTGCACCAATTATTTGGACAGAGTGCATAGATAAATTTTTGCAGCAATTATTTGCACCATGATAATAAGGCAAACAAAGTTGAAAGAACATCCACAATAACATGAGATCAACATTCAGATTCACAAACCATCCGGGTTCACATCCAAACAACATAAATATGAGGTTCATATGCACGGTTCTCTTCACATAAATATTGAGACATACAGTTCACATCCAAACCAAAAGACATGGCATTTCACTTTCCTCGATTCACAAACTCGGTCTTCTTTTACTCCTTGTGCTCATTGCAGGACTTGTGGGCTGAACCATTTTGCTCCTTGTGCCCATTGCAGGGGCTATCAAGTACCAACTTCTTTTTGGAGTCTTTTTAGAAATTACCTTCTTCATTTTGCCTTCCCTTCTTAACACCTTCAGGTTCGCCAATTGAAAGTCCCTCGGGCTGATTGGAGCCACTTAAGTGACCTATACATGTTCATGTATATCAACAATTATTTAAAGAACATATGTAAAAGTGCTATGCAAAAGAAGTCCGGACTTATTACAGCTACCTTTTGGAGCCTGCAGAGTTCGAGTTACCAAGTTTTTCCTTTTGTTGTTACTTGAAATTTCCATGCTTTGGCTACTAAAAATCGAGAATTAGTATATTATACTTAGAGTTCAACATGAGCTTTCAGATTTAGAAGTACCTTTTGAAGCTTGAGAACACAAGTCAAGCATGTTTTCTCTTTTTAGTAGTTGTAGCCTCCAAATTTTGACTACTGAAGTGTGAAGGACTATAATGAGTCACCATGCGATGCAATATAAATTGAGAACAATGAGAGATGAGGAAACCTTGGTGGAAAGGACATAGAAGCTCTTTGAGCTTCATCTTCCAATGCCATAATGGAACTTTGATCGAGATACAATTGCATTTTTTCTCTTTTTGGTGGTCCTCTACATAAGAAATTACAAATTAAACATTTATTGATTGTACAAACTATGCATGAATGGAACATGAAACATTGGCACGTACCTCACGACTTTCATTGCTTCTATGTCTTCTTTGCTTCCCTTTTTGCGGTTGTGCCAATGGTGGCCATAGTCTTTACATATAGGGCATTGGTGCTGCCCTTTCTTCCTTTTATTGTCACTCTGACCTTTGTGCCTCTCGGTTTTAGGCCTACCAAAGAAATGACTTTCAAGATGGTGGATGCATGAAAATTCATGCTCTCGATTTGAGGCCATTGAGACTTGTCGAACAAAGCGAGGATTAGTGCACTATAAGCGCTCTAAACTTCTCAATGGAGTAGTACAAATCAACATGTTTCTCAATAGGTTCATTAGTAAGTGAGGTAATAAATGCTAGTGCATGTTTGCAAGGAATGCCAGATACATCCCATTGTCTACAAGAACATGTCCTGTCAACCAAATTCACCACAAACCGAAAGCCACTACCACCAAATGCTGTCACTTCAGCCACATCTTCTGAGCACTCTGATACTTGCAAGGTCAATTCTCTGCTTTTCTCATTCAACATCTTAATTATGTGAGGCAAAATCAAGCCATCTAATTTCTTCCCAATTTTCCTTCTTTGGTTCCACTTCACCATAAGTAATTGTCTAAGCTTGTCCATGAAATCATCGAGATTCATAGCCTTAAGGTCCTTAATCCAATTGTTGAAGGACTCAGCCAAGTTGTTGGTCACATAGTCAACTTTACAAATGGTTCTGAATTGACTTCTTGTCCACAACTTCTTGTGACACTTTCTTAGGTAATTTGTTGCAGCAGGCTTTGCTTTCTCCATTTCAGTCCAATGTTTCTCAAACAAGTATGTGTTCCATGAGTAAGTCACTGCTTGCCCAAAGGTGGTCATCAAAAACCTTCCCATGATACTTCTTGAAATTGCTAACCAAGTGGAACATGCACTCCTATATGCTCGCTTGAGGGAACACTTCACAACCCCCGCCATCACTTTTTCCTTAGACGCATACATGCTTATTGCTAATCCCCTTGGTGACCCAATAGCCTCCACAGAGCTTACTCATGAACCGGATCCAATTTTCATTAGTTTACGAATCAAAAACACCAACACAAATCGGATACAACCAATTGTGGCCATCAAGCTGCATTAGCACTTGCCAATTGCCCTTGAACACACTTTCACAAGAACGTGCATCGCTTTGCCAAGTAAGGTTCGCAACCATTAAGAAAGCCATCTATGCAAGGTTTCAATGCAAAGAAGAATCTCCTAAATCTGATTTTCTCATTTATTGTGTAGTGATCAATGATTACTAAGCTACCGAGGGCAAGTTCTCCACTTGTGCCTTGAACCTAAACAATTTGTTGAAGCTGCTGTCCCAATCACCATATAATTGTTGCAATGCTAACTTCTGGCCATAATATACTCTCTTGTAGTGAATATGCACTTTGTGATGTTCCTTAATCTTCTTTTGCAGTTCTCTTGCTCCTAAAGTAGCATCTTCTATTAGAAAGTCCTTCACCTTCTTGCATACCCAATGTTTAGTTCCATTCTTCACCTTCTTTTTCCTTCTAGTGCTAGAGCAATCATGCTTAAAGTTGTTCTTCTTGACCTACAAAACAGCAGCATACATTATTAGTTAGACACACATAGCAAGTATATAATGGACAAAATGAAGAATAATGAGAATAACATAATGAGATCTCCAATACTTACCACTACAGTCACTTTGTCTACTGTTGTAGAAGCATGTATTTTCCATGGACAGTTATCCAAGACCTTCCTTGAACAGTAACCCCTAAACCTCTGCTTTGAACTCTTCTCTGTGGCGAATTCAAATTCATGTTTGATTGCATCTGACAAAGAGCCAACTTGAACTTCGGCCATATTAGGATAAGTAGAGCACAGGTTCCATAGGAGGATCTTCTTCATCATAATCAACAATTGGGTGATGATTTACTTCTTCATATCCACCTTTCGGGCTCTACTTCAACCTCTCGAGTCATCCTCCAAATCAATGTCACATCAGAAGTCGATTCGAGTCATCCTCGAAATCATCTTCATCCTTAGCCACAACCTTTTCCTTCCCTCTATCAGAACACCCAACCACACTTAGAGCATTGATAGGTTCATTTTGCATGTAAATTGTCTCCTCATCAACACTGACATGTTCATTCATTGGATTTGGATTTCTTAGATAATCATCATCAGCTTGGACCCTGTTGCTGTCAGGTTGCTCTTCCCCATCAAAATCCCATTCAGTGATAGGCTCAAATGTTTCAGAGGGATCACAATAAATAATAAACATGTCTACAACCTTCTCCTTATTGTGCATATCAAACATGTACATCAAATCTTGGTCTGAATTTACTTTCGGAAAAGTTTTCAGAACATGATCATAGTACTGAATATGAGCAACTTCCAAATAACCTGGTGGATACTTGTCTACAATTGACTCAATGAAATCCATATAATTTGACAAGTCCGAATCGACAACCATATCAAAACTAAAACATTTGACATCCTTTCTAGCCTTTTTGCGATTGCCAAGCAATTTGATTTTCAGCAAATAACTGGTATTTGTATCCAGCCTGATATTTCACAACAATAGCAGCATGCATCAGATTTCAACTATCTATGTACAGGCGGTCTGTGTACTCCTAAACTGCTAATTGGATGGAACTCATGCAAGGACAAGGGACCTACTAATACATGGGCAACATTCCGTGTCTTTTTTAGAAATATCAGCATATGTGCACGACGTTTCCTTATAAATCAATCTCTTTTAAACCAGCTAAATAATTTTTCATATGAAAATTACTTCACTTATAGTCGACTGTGCAAGCAAATCTTAGCAATTGAATGGTAAAATACATGCAAGGCTATGAGTTGTACTTCTATACACAACCGCTAATATTTCCAGATAGCCTTTTTCTTTGTCTTCTCAACGTATTTGTCCCCTAGGCTTCAAAACTACAGGTGTTTACATAGAACTAAAAAAAATAAAATCTTGCAGTTGGGAGTAAACATTGTGCAAGGCAAAACAAAGTTCTAGAAAATCCAAATATTTCATCAGTCTTGGAAATTGGCAGAGCGCGAGAAGATTAAGATATGAGAGGCATACTGTAATAAAATTTAGCATTGACACGACATTTGATCGAGCACCTTATGCACGCATAGCGAGATACTACTACAGGAGAAGGAAGCTAAGTCGCATCCACGACATGCTCAACATCTTGACAAGCAGTGCACAAGAAGATGGAAGGCAACGAACTCACCCTGTACAGCCGGCAGCAGTGCAGGCCGCCCCACCCGTGGCCGTGCTGGCGTCGCGCAGAGGAGCCCCGACCACCTTCTAACGGCGGCGCCCGCCACAGCCGTCTTGGGCTCGGCGTGAAACCCGCCCGACCTCGCATGCGGCTCCAGCCCGCCCGTGTCGACCTCGATGCTCCATACGCGCCGTCGTCCATCCAATGCGGATGAAGCCAAACCCGATGAGATTTGAAGCCCTATCCCCTTTTCTTCTCTCTTTCTGTGTGAGCCAGGGGCATATTAGTCTTTTAACAGTTGGCCCTACACGTCAGTTAACCATACAGTAGGTCCAAAGTGACGGTAGTGTCATTTTGGGAACATAAATTTCAGCCGAGGTCGGATAAGGAACATTTCAACTTTGGGTGTTAAATTAGGAACAACAAGTTTTTTTAGTGTCAAATAAGGAATTTTCTCACAATATATATAGGCAAATTTTGCAATAGCGCATCAAACATACGTGGTATTGGCAATTTCACACCGCATGCACTGAAATATATGCCATGTATCATTATGAAGGTGTGGATCTTTGCTGCAGCAAACCAGCAAAGAGCTTCCGTTTATTTATTTATTTTTGGAAACTAAGAGCTTCCGTTGGTGAAAAACCGTTCATCAGTCATCACTGAGAAACCGCCGCTCGGGAAATGGATCGGAGTTGCTTAAGCGCCTGAAGTCCGATCCGGGCGCTTAGCGTCAGATAGTGCAAATTCTCGCTGAAACATTAATATGTGAATAAAAAAATCTCACACCTCACCGTGCTTATCTGTACGCCCACCCCGATGCCTTACTCGCCCCATCCACGCACACCGCCACCATCTCCATCCGTTCGCCCCGCCCCGTCGTGTCCCCGACCGCCGGCCACTGGCTCGCCGCGTCCCATTCCCCGACGCCTCCTGACTCTCCGAACAGCATGAAACACATGCAACATGAAACACTTGAATGCAACATACATCTGAAATAGATGAAACATCTGCAACATATGTGTGAAAACATATGCAACATCCATATAAAACACTTACAACTTGCAGCATGAAAACACTGGCTGCAATAGAAGACTGAAACAGATGAAACATTTTGGAAATACTGTTGCAACATATGTGTGAAAACATATGTAACATCCAGATCAAATCAATTGCAACATACATCTGGAAACAGATGGAACATTTTGAACAAGTGCTTGCAACATGCCTCTAAAACACTTGCAACATATGCAACATCCCCCGATCTACTTTTGCAACATCAATATAAAACAATTGCAACATCTATCTGAAACACTTAGAAACATACATATGCAACATAGGGGAGGGGAAGGCTAGGCCGGTCGATTTCGGTCATTGGGGTCGGAGACGGCGGCGAGCGGCTGCGCACGAGCACCACCGCCACCAGCGCCACTAGTACCGGGCTTGACTCGGCGGCGACGGTGGGGGATGGGGGGCGAGGAGTGCCATGGCCGCCAGGTGGGGGGAGCTCGGTCGCCGGTGTGAGAGAGGGCGTCACCGGGGGTGGGGAGGACGCCACGCCGGAGTGGGGGAGAGAAGCCCACTCCCCTGCAACACCGCCACGCCACCTCCATAGATCTCACTCGTGCTACATGGATCTCGCCAGGGTTGAGGAGAGCGCCACCGGATCTGTGGCATTGGGTTGAATTTGTTTTTTTTTATTTAGGCGTGCGGCGCGTGCGGCAGTGAGGTAAAGTTGTGGTGCACGTCACGCCACGCATCCGGAGGGGAGTCGCTGGCATCAGACGTCCTGTTTGTAGCATTACCGAAAACCAATCCGTGCAGGAGCTAGCACTACACCTGATCTCCGTGCGTGATTATTTGGAGAGTTATTTGAGTAAAAAATCACTTTTTTATATATTTGTACCCTTAGTTATTTATCTTGTGCAGACTCTATAGAGCCAAATAGATGAGTAACCTCATATGATAACTTGTAACATAATGGATGTTAATATGCAAAGACACCTTGTTTAGGTCCAGGGTATCTTGTGCGCATTCTATAAAGTCACCCTCCCTCTCCATCTTTGGCTAACAAGAAATCGGGAAAATTTACATTCCTATAAACTAAATTATTATGAAAGGGATATTCTAGCACAATGGCCAAACAGATGGCAACCTCAGACAGACAACTCGGAACATGATGGACGTTGACCTGCAAAGACACTTTGTTCAGGTCCAGGGTATTGGTGTTGCAAGACTGAAGATTGTAATGCGGTCGAGGCGTTACGATTTGCGAGCTTCCGTTCATGATGTGGAACCAGATAGAAAACCGTGAGCTTGTTCGGCTGATGGGGTTTTTACGGCTGATAAACCGACTACAGTTGTTTTTTGTTGTGAGAAAAAAACGTTGTACCATGTCCTTTCGCCACCCGTGTCATGTCTTAGAGCAATACATAAAGCAGGGAAAAAAAGTTACTTTTTGAAAGTTGAGTTTTTTTATATCACACCGCCGTGGCGTCATTGCAATGACACACCCCTCACATTGTACTTGTACATCACCCCAGCGCAATGGGGAAGATCCGAAGATTCAACTATTTACATCGAATGCTATACCGGGATCTGGCAGTTTTGCCTTGCGGCAATACATCTGCAACAACGCTCCACCTCTCCGTTTGCATCTGTACCATCTGTTGTTCAACCGAAGAAACCTGAACAACATCTCCGAGTTGTATTGTATACACCTCCGAATTCGTATCGCGAACTCGTGCCCCTGTCATGTACACGCGCTGCGGTCATGTGCTGCCCTCAGCCTCTCCAGTCTCTCAGGTAAGACCTGAGCCAGGCAAACTCGTGCCTCATCTTCTCCATGTGCGCCTCCGCTACCTGCATCTCCTCGCTTAGTAAGCTGAGGCGCTTCTGCACCACTCCATGCTTTCTTTGCTGTACCCTAAACTGCCCGTGATCCCATGAGGAGCCATTTGGACCTGGGGGGATCTAGTTAGCAGAACTATGATGGTCACCTGCAACAGAAGTATGTGTCAGAATGGTTGGTAGTCAGAGGATGATTCACTGATCATTTTCATCATTTCATGCCATTGGTTATGTTCAGATATTTTTCAGTTGAGGTTTATTCAGCATAACAAACTGCATAAAATCCAAAAAACTTGCCTGCATTAGGATAATGATAGCCACCAGTACCACTGCTAGTACTGGACCAAGTTGGCTCGATCTCATGTATGACGTTAGTGAACCCCACAATTCTTGTGAAGTGGACACGATGGAAGAATCTCTCCCTGTTCTCTGCTGGTGATCTTGAATAGGAGGAATGAGGCTTCTCGCACCAGATTCATCCTGTGAGGAACTCACCACTGGAACTTGTACTTCCACGGTATTTTCCTCGTTTGTTGTAGCCCTGGTTGAACACCAGAATCAGCTGTGCTGGAGGTGCCTGTAAGAATGGATGGAAAAAATAGCTATTTAATTGCTTCATAACTTAGCGTTTGCAGTGAAAGGGGATGCGGTTCATATAGAGAAAAGTTGGAACTGCAGCAACTCTTTGACTGAACCGTGAAGTACAAATTACCTTTTGATCGATCATATTCCTGCTTCAAAAGATCATGACCCTAAAAACATGAAATGAGAAAAGATTATATACACCTCCAAATGGACAGTAGCACTGAGAAATATTTTCAAGTATGAGAATAGACGTACAAGCTTAATCCAGAGACTGAAAACTTCACGGCATTCATCTTTTGTTGACTGCTCTATTTTTCCTGTGATTTAGAGATTTAAAGAATATAAGCAGTGATGCCATACGTTCTAAATAAATGGTACTATATATGATTCGGGTGTTGGAATAAACTAATTGCACAAACATACAGACGCCATGATAATAAATGATGAGAATAGTACTTTCTTTAAGCCTGGCAAGGGGCTCAGACAAGGTGACCCCCTGTCACCCCTTCTATTTAATTTAGTTGCTGATGTGTTTTCTAGAATGCTTATGAAAGCAGCTAGGGCAAATCTTATTTCGGGCCTGTTACCTCAGGTTGAATCTGGGGGTATTAGCAGTCTACAGTATGCCGACGATACCTTACTTTTTTTGGAGGATGACCTCACTAAAGCTGCAAATCTGAAATGGATGCTGGTATGCTATGAACAGTTATCTGGTATGAAGATAAATTATGATAAGAGTGATCTTTTAGTAGTTGGGATGGAGGAGGATAGAGCTAATGAATTTGCTAGAATTTTATGTTGTAAGAGAAGTAATTTCCCAATCAAGTATCTAGGGGTTCCCCTGCACTTTGCTAAGTTGAGAAGAGAAGACCTACAGCCCATAACTGATAAGATAGTGAAGAGGATTGCTGGCTGGCGGGGGAGGCTCCTGTCTTATGCAGGGAGACTGACCCTTCTTAAGACCTGTTTGGCCAGCATACCGATTTATCTCCTCTCCATTATTAAGTTTCCTAGATGGGCCATAGACATGATTAATTCACATATGGGACACTTTCTGTGGAACAATACTGAAGACCACCACAAATACCATCTAGCTAGTTGGCAGTTGGTGTCCCAGAAAAAAGAAATGGGTGGCTTTGGCATCCCTGATTTACGGAGTTTGAATTTAGCTCTTTTAAGTTCCTGGATCTTTAGATACCATTTGAATACCAATTCGATTTGGACTAGGATAGTTGATTATAAGTATAAGACAAAAACCCAATATATTTTGCTGTCCTGATGTTGGATCCTCACCTTTTGGAAAGGTGTGATTTGGGCTATACAGGCTGCCCATATGGGTATCAGGTGGTTAGTCGGAAATGGGGAAAAATTCGGTTTTGGGAAGACCAATGGTTTGGTAATACCAGTCTGGCGATCATCTATTGGCCATTGTATGTTATAAACGAACAGCAAGGTAAATCCATTCAGGAGGTCTGGGATGGTGAGGAGCTTAAGCTCTCTTTTAGAAGGAATGTGTCTGAAAGTCTTATGTCTCTTTGGGAAGAACTGAGAGCTATTGGAGAAAGTGTTGCCCTCACTAATGAGGAGGACCGAATCATATGGAGTTTTAACTCTAATGTGCGGTATTCTGTCCAGTCCTTGTATGCTGTGATTAACCATAGAGGAGTAGTTCCAGTCTTTGTGCAGGCTGTCTGGAAACTCAGTATACCACCAAGGGTGCAAATCTTCCTGTGGTTACTTTCTAAGAATAGATTGTTAACTAGAGATAACCTTGCTAAACGTAGAGAAGTCAATGACCCCTCTTGTTTGTTTTGCTCTGAGAATGAGTCAATTGTGCATCTGTTTTTTGATTGCTGTGTAGCCACAAATGTTTGGCAGTATATATCTGATTTGCTAAATGTGAATATCAGGAAGGATTTTGAATCTGTAGCTGCCTTGTGGTTAGCCAATAAAAAACACTTGATCACTAACATTGTATCTTCTGCGGTTTTATGGGTGCTTTGGAAATTACGGAATCTATTGTGTTTTCAGGGAGTAAGTTGGAGTGGGCTAAAGAAGGTGCTGTCTATGACTGGAAGAATGCTGAGAGGGTGGCTACCCATGTTCAAGCCGGTTGTCCAGGAGAAAGTGGAGTTTATCATTCAACAAGTGGAACACGAAGCAAGCTTGGCGCCGCAGATCAGTTGGAGGCAGGATTCATTAGAGTTGGCACAATCAGATGCTCAGCCTTGGAGGTCTTAAGCGATGTGATCTGGGATCAATGTAATAGGCCTAGTAGTTTCGACTGTGGACCTGGTTAAACTCTAGTTTCGACAGCTTGGCTGCTTTTGTTGGTTTTGGCGGCTTGGCTGCTCTGTGCGCGATGGTGCCTAACTCTGTACTGAATTGTTGTTAAGCTTTACATCTATAAAGCGAGGAAACCTTTATTCAAAAAATACAGGCGCCATGATAGCAAAATTCGAGCATGGAATCTGATCCACGATAAACAACATCTGCAAGAGTCTCTACATCAACTCCGTTCTATTCATAGTGATACAATCCCTAGAACTAAGCCCTCAGTTTCACTGAAAATAGCACGGCAATCCAAAGAACCAACTTGGCCAAATCAAGTATATGACATATTGAACTGCAGGGGGAGGGCTCCACTTACTAATAATAACTGCTTGTGTCATTTGTACCCAGGTAACCATTACTTTGTATGTTTTTCCAACTATGCGACTAAAAAACAGTAAATACATAAATAAAATGTGCACCATTGTTGTGGAAATATATAGAGCTGATATAAGTTGTAACCCTAGGGGTTTCCCTGGCAAATTATGTTTTGGTTTATCAACACATGAGCTGAAACTTAACATAAAAAGCATAGCTTGTAAGATTCAGGCACCAGGTTAAGTTGGCCTAACTCAAATTAACAAACTTTCTACAGAAAACTAGAGTTGGTAGGGGTTAATTCTGAAGGCATGCAAAAAATGGGCCCTAAGAATATTGAGGACATTTTGAAAGTGCCGGAGGATCCAGGATACAAGGATGCAGGATAATTCCAAATATCGTTCTCGCTAGAGCATTCAGGATACAATGGATGTAAATTACCTCTAAATATCGTTTTCTTTGAGAAGGCTACATTAATATATATCCTGAGGTCACAACAGTTCTCATCTAGGCTATCCTGTTCGACATCCCAGATGCCCTGAAGGTAAAAATAAGATCATACAAGAGTTAAGGGCTTAAAGCTAAGAGCAAATCAATGTTAATATGGCATATAACAACAGAAGTTGATACTTGACAGAAGCAAAATGAAAAATCATAAATGCATTATTTTCCATTGTACACAAAAAGGAAATTCCAAGCTAGATAAAAACCAACATTATAAACAGCATTTGGATTACTCACCTCTACAGTGAAATGGTCCCCATATGGGGCATCACCTATTGACTGAGAGGTTTGAATCATTAGATGCCTACAAAGAAGTGAAGGAAGTTAATTGCAGGGAGCTGTAACATCAATTATTCTTCGGAAGGGAAACATTGCTACAAGAAACAAGCATGCGGCAGATTGAACCAATGTTTTCAAGTCGTCCAGTCGAACCTAGTCGCCATGGGACCGACTAGGACGATTAATCACGATTAATCGCGATTAATCGGACGACTTGTACAAGTCGACGGTACCCCTAATCAGTCAGCAGGGACCGATTAGGATGATTAATCACGATTAATCGGACGACTTGAAAACATTGGATTGAACAGAACTAGCAACAGATTACTGCTCGGACTAAAATCCAAACATAAGAAATTAAGGCATGAGTTTTGTTCAGGTACAGAGCTAAGTTTGATAAAACCAAGTAACCAACAAACAGGGCGTACCCAGTGCAGAGAGCTCCCGCTTTGTCATGCGAGGTCCGGGAAGAATGTCGATGGCAAGCCTTACCCTCGCTTTGTGAAATCTTGAGAAGATCATGACTCGAACCCGGGACCTTCCGGTCACAGGCGGTAAGACTCTACCGCTTGCACCAGGCCCGCCCTTCAAGTAACCAACAAAAGAGGACACTAAATAATTGCTAGTTCTACAATCTCAATTTTTTATTCCATAATGACCAAAGGCTCAGTGAAGACACCACTTAACTGGAAGAAAATGGATCTTAGACTAACCTGTTTTTGTAAAGACGAAGTTTCTGAACCTCTTGACAAGTCCCAAATTTTGCACCTAAAGACAATTCAGAGTAATCAAAGTGGACCATAAGAAAATATAAAGCAAGTCATAGCCCATGTCATATTCGATGCCAATTAATTTCTTCAGTCAACTGAAAGCTCTTGTCTTACCGAGATAAATTTTTATCGGATGCAAAAATGAGACATCCCTTACAAGTCCCCCTTGCTCATCTGTACGCCATTTCGAGCAACTAAATTCTGCAGGTCATCCACGTCAAAACTCAAAATACTTCTAAAGGCCAAAAGATGTTCATGATTAAGGAAAGGATAGATTGGCATCAACCTTTGTCACCACATTTTTTGTGGAAATCATCCACATAGCCAAAAGCACCATCAGACAATAAAAATTAAAGAGAACCTCCACAGGCACCTGTTTTTAGGATGTTAGTGTTGTAAACGTAATTGTCAATACTACTACAAAGAAATGGAATCGTGCAAACCTGAAACTTTGACTCCGTGATCATAGTGTAAGATTCAGGTACTGTGAGAAAAGGCATGATGGACGTTTAGTAAAAACAAAAAATCATGTAACGAGTGGCTAGCAAACAATTAATGATATAAAAATAAATAGGAATAACGAATATGGCAACAAACCACTAGGAGGAGCATCATCAAGTGGTTCCAAATTGAATGGGTTCAGTGCGATGATGTTGTCTTCGAGTCCATTCTCCTCAACTTTTGAAAACCTTTTGGAAATGTTGATGTTCGAATCACCACCATCAGCACTACTAGAGACAGCTGTACTATCGACAGACCTACAGTCCAATATGTTTGAATCATAAATAATTATAGAGAAAAGAAGTCGATTTCAAGATTTAAGACAAGCGTAAATCATTTTTGTCCATAAGCCAAAACCTGTCCGGTGGTGATGAATCTTCATCTTGTTTAGATTCCTTTGCTCCTTCCAATAAAACATAACCATTTTCTTCACTGCTACTAACTGACTTTGTCTCCTATATAGTGCCGTAAAAGATTCCATGTGAACAATAGTTTAGAAACAAACAGTAACTCCAAAGTGGCAGCTCCAGGTCAACAGATTGAAGTTACCAATGTGGTAATGATTCATAAAGAAACAAATCTGCTAACCTGACGTTCAAGGAGCAATCTTGCATCACTAACATGTTGTTCCCAGCCATCTACTATAATTCGATAGGCTTCATCACGTGACAAGAACGATCCAAAAAAGTGCTGAAAGTAACAGGACATTAGTGCAAGTGGTTTAATAATGTATACATACAAGAAACTTAGACAATGATAGCTCCCTCACCCTTCTAGTACCAGCAACAATTTCAATGGCATTAGAAAAAATGGCAGCTGTCTTTGCTTCTGAACATCAGTTACCTCTTGCAAAGGTATTGTTTTCTGGATAACAGGAACAATGTCAGGGAACTTCTCGAAGTCAACTAAACAAGCTAGAACAGCTATATGGTGATGTTCTCCTTGGATCATTTATTAGTTATTACCTTTGTCTCATATCCAAATATGTTAGAGTAGAAGCATATATGGTGAAGAAATAAATACATATGCCCCTGCAAGATAACACAATTTAGTAACAAAGTCCATTAAGAATGCTCAGTTTAAATATTACATTTATTTCCTTAAAAGATAAAAAGATAAGTGTGCAACTTAATTCAAAAACAATTTTAAAGTTGTCAGATGACCCGGTAGATTTTTTAGACACAAGGCACTGGCTTAGCATTGATGAATACTTAATAATTTTACAAGGCCAAAATCTGTTCATTTATTTCACTAGAGGTTAACAGGAGATATATTTAGGGAGCACCGCAAATTTAATAGGAGCATGTACTCATATTTTCACCAAATATAATGGATGACAAATAAATGTATACTTTATTGTAATGTCATGGAGACGATCATGTAAGAACTACCTGAAGAAGGATATTTTCTTGGAGAGCGCAGTTAAAATCTTGCACGAAAACCTGGATGACACGAAAAGTTAAGTAAAATACAAACAACGAATTGCATTCTCAGTTTCTCACTTGCATAAATGAAGTGTACCAACCAAACAACATTTGTGGAAATCAGTGTTTTCCTTTATTCAAATGGACATGATAGTCCATAAATAAATGTTACCGAATGGCAAGTGCTCTCGAATCAAATGGTAAACTTGACATGTATGGTAACAGGCTATGTTAGATGGACAGTTGGACACTTTGGCTTAAGCGTTATTGCTCAAAATCCACCTATCAGACTACCTTTCAATCAACTATCAGCAAAATAATTAAGTATGATCACTCAAAATCCTCCTTTTTGTACAGTGGTTCAACCAACTGTCAACCAAATCAAAACGCGGAAGGAAACTCATGAAACTATAAACCGCTTAGGAGTGAAGTCAAACCAATAATTATAACAAAGCTCCTCTGAACTCACTCGTGATTCAAACCAAACTCTCAAAGCAAGATGCTGGCGTACTCCAGAGCAAAGGAGCAAGATGCTGGCATACTCCAGAGCAAAGGGTAAAGCAGCTAGTAATTAATTATGATAAGGTTTGTCCTAGAAAACGACGTTGTGATAAAAAAGTCAAAGCCCCCCACGAAATCAAATCCCCTCAGCACCAGTACGAGCACTTGAGCATCCAAATTCCGCCAGAACGCAACGATCACGGCCCAAAGTCAAAAGCTAGATCGCACGGAGGGAGGAAGGAGTTAGGGATCACTCGGCACCAATCAGCCGCGCGTCCAATTACCTCGTCGGGCGGCAGCCGGAACAGAAGCCTGTACTCCTCGCTCCTGCTCGCGAGCAGCGGGCTCTGCACGATCAAACACCGCGCCACATCAGACACGCACCAGGTCAAAGGAGGAAAAAAGGAAACGAGGTGCGATTCCAGCGGTGATCGAATTCGCACGCAAGCGCGCTGCGCGCGGCACCCACCAAGGCGTCGGGGGCGGAGAGCTGGTCCCCGGAGTGGGTGGAGGCCGGGGAGGAGGACCCGGACGCGTCGACGGCGGGCGGCGCCGACGCGAGCCGCCGCGGCGGGGAGGCGGGCGAGGGCGCGGCGGTGGGGATGTCGGTGGGGCTCGCCCGGCTCGGGGAGGCGACCGTGGGCGAGGCCATGCCGGTGGACGCGGGCGAGACTGGGGTCGGGTCGGGCGCAGTCGCGCGGTGGGCACCGGGACCGGGAGGAGGGCGGGGGTGTGAGGGTGGTGGGATGATTGAGAGAGAAGGGTAGGTGAGACTATCTCCAACGCAAAGTACCAAATGGAAGACCCATTCATTCGATATTTCGAGTCATGCACAGTGAAAAGGTCCCGAAACCAAACCTCACGCAACAGCTGCGGTCACGGGCGCCCCTCTCTCCTCAATCTCAATCGGCGATCACGGGCGAGGAGGCGCGCCCGAGGCCGAGGGGGAGCGGCGCCATGAGGCTCCCGCCTCCCATGGCCGACCACCCCCTCACGTGAGCACCCCCACCCATCGCCCGTGAGCTCGGCCGCCACGGCCACTGGCCCGCCACGCCTCCCGTCGGAGCTCCTCCACGAGATCCTACTCCGCCTCTCGCCATCCGGAGCTCCTCGCGCGTGCGCTCAAATGCGGCCAGCCTCGGCTTCTCGGCCGTCGTCGTCTCTCTCTCCACCAACCACCACATGGTGCTCGCCCCGCCAGGCTCCCAGTGCTGTGGCAGCCTCGGCGGTGTCCAAGGCCATGACCAGGCGTCCATGGTGCCCACCCCAAGACAAAGTGCTGGAGCCCTTCCTCGGCCGGCCAGGCTAGCTAAAGCCTTCTGGCGGCGGCCTGGCGCCGCCCTCCCCTGGCCAGCGGCGCCCACCACCTGAATAAGCAAGATTTTTATGCGTCGTCTCTCCTCGGCAGCTTTTTTATGTTCTTCTTGCGTCGGACCCAAAATGGGTTCTTTGAATGGGTCTTCTGTTGGAGCGTGATTTTGATAGGCAAAAATACTGTGTGTGACCGATTTTGCGTTTGGGGCTCCTCGTTGGAGACAGTCTGAGTGAGGGCAAGGAGAGGAGGAGGGTTTACCTTTCCACGTACTGCTATGTATGTACTTGTACTTCACTTCTCCCGCTCAAGTCCTATGTCTCCACTCGCTCTCTCCCACATTCACTCCGCCTCCCCCCCCACACTCAATCTCTCTGCTGCCCTTCTCCTCTCACCTTTCTTTGTTGGCTCTTCGGTCCGTCCCCGGGATAGGGACACCGCGCCCCACGCTCGTCCGCCTGTGCTCCCTTCCTCCCTCCGTCCCTCGCCCTCCGCGACCTCTATGCACCCCTAATTGCACCCCCATCGAAGATGAGGACGATAGCGGCGGCTCCGACGAGGTAGCTCGCGGAGGGATCTGGATCTAAAGCCGGCTCCTCTTCCTCTGGATCTGGATCTGAGCCCTCCTCCTCCTCCTCCTCTGGATCTAAGGGATGCGGCGGTAGCTAGGGTTCCGGTGAGCTCTCGGGTTTTTTTATGTTGCAACAGATGATTTCGAATGTTGCAATGAGATTTTTTTGGGTTGTTGTAACAGATGTTTTTGCGATGTTGCAGTACTACTGCTTGAGATATTGCAGTATATGTTTTCGAATGTTGCAGCATAATTTTTTGATGTTGCAGTAAACATTTTTTTGCAGTACATGTTTTTCAATGTTGCGGTGCACATTTTTTCGTTGTTGCAGTAGATATTTTATGATGTTGCAGGATATGTTTATCAATGTTGCACTACATATATTTTTCGATGTTACGATTGGGGAAAAGTGCGTTGGGGAAGGGGGACAGGCGTGTTGAGGGAGGCGGAGCCGTCGTGAGGCCCGCGGCGGTGGGGAATGCTCCTACTGAGGCGAGACAAGCGGATGGGGATGGGGGATGAGAATGGCGATGGAGATGGGGACGAGGTGTGGACGTGTCGGGCGTGCGCGGGGGCATCCCGGTGGAAGCGGGCGATGGGGACGAGGTTTCTGGTTGTGGGCGGAGAGACATCTAGGAGCAGCGGCCTGGCGTCCGGCGCCTGGGATCGGGCGTCCGGCGCTAGCAATTCCCATAATAAAAGGCGAGGTGCGTGGCGGTGGCGTGTTCCGGCTCGGCGTTTACGGCTCCACCTCCTCGCCGCCTTCCTCTGCTATGGTATGGGTTTGCTCGTTCCAGACTTTCCGAAGAAAGCGGGCAGAGGAGCAATAGAAGACTAGTGCGTTCGGGCCTTCTGTTGAATCGAATTATCTTCCGTTTATAATCATCCTACTTTCTCTCGTCATGAATATAACTTTATTATATACATTAACTTGGAAACTTTTGAGTAAAACGTCTTATAATTTGGAATGAAGTTCATTAATTATTGTCATGATGAAATATCTTTTTGTGACTATATGATTTTTTAGATGACGATGGTCAAAGTATTAGGAAAGTTTGAGTCAGAACAAAGATATAGCAAAACTTATATTTGCAAGGGGAGAAGTAAGAGAAGCTATGATAAGCAAATATAAAGTTTTAATTAGAAGTACTATATATAACCATAATTGTGAGGGGAAAACAGCTTACAATCACATACTCCTTCCTAGGTCACTGAGCAAGGTGTCACAATAAAGAACGGTTCAGATAAGGTACAGTTTAGTCCAAATTCAAACATGAAACAACAGCCCTGCCTCGTTCTAGTTCGGCGGCATGGCGGCAGGGCGGCAGCCAGCACCATTAGACCCGGCCAAATCCGGCGATAAAAATACCAAAACCACTCACGAGTGCCGACGGCACTCTAACACGTAAACGCTCCTCTCTCAAACGTCGCATCTCCGGGCGTTGCGTCGCGTCCATGCGCATATATCTAAGATTAAGAAAACACCGCCATCTACGATTAGCAATTAACAAGTTGGATCATAAACTAACACCATGATGATTGATTGAGAGGGGCCGGTTGATGGAACACCCACGCCGGCACGCCACGGCGAGTGCGAGACCGAAGCGTGCCGGTTTTGCCTTGGACTCGGCGTCGGGGCAGGGGCAACCCGAAGCGTGCCGGTTTTGGCTAGGGATCGGCGATCCCCGCGGCGGGGCCACGGCGACGGCGACGCGGCACTGGTGGCATCGGTGGCACGTCGGCGCGGCACCCGCCTCCGCCTGTGCGCGCTCGATCGCAGCGTACGGGTACGGCGTGACGCGTACAGGGCCGCTCTGGCCCACTCATCCTGCCATGCGGGGCCGGGCAGCCAAAGGCGGACCTCAAATCGAATGGGGGTCTCTGTTTTCGTGTCCTTGTCCGAGACCGAGATATCGACAGATCTGAGACACGAGCAAGGACGGAACAGCAGTGCTAGCGCCGCCCGAACGTCCACTCTGCATAGGAAGGACCAGGTGTGCCCGGCCGTGGGGTCCTACGGATGCGCAGCCAGCGTAAGAGAGAAGAAATGCCGCAGAAGCAGAGGAAAAAGATGCAACATCTGATTTACAAAGACAGATGAAATACTTAAAACATACGTATGAAATACTTGAAAAACACACACATGAAAAACACTTAAAAATCATTGCAAACATATATACAACATCTGAGATAAACACACTTGCACACATGTGTGCGGAAAAGCAGATGAAACATTGGGAGCGAAGCTTGCAACATACATATCATTCTGCAACATCTCGATCTTTTTTGCAACATTCATTTAAAACACTTGCAACATATCTATGAAACATCTGAAATACTTGAAACATATACTTGCAACATATGTTTTCACCTTTCTTCTTCCAAACGACGTAGAGCAGAGTGGGTAACAGCCTTGATTCGGCCGGTAGGTGGCCAAGGATGGTGGCATGGTCTAGGAGCTGCAAGCTACGCTGCATAACTGGCCGCCTGGCCGGCCAAATAGACGACCCTATCTCCTAGCCACCTAGCCACACACGGCGGCCGCCTGCTGCGCGGCGGTCGCTTAGCGTGGTGGAGAGGGAGGAAGGCGATCGGCGGTGCTCGGATGTGGTGGAGATGGAGGATAGAGGCCGTCGGGTCAGACGGACGTGGTGGAGAACGTCGCTGCGAGGCAATCACAGTGGACCGCTCTACGATGGTGCGGGCGATGCTTTAAGTGGAGAGCAAATTTTCTAAGCGGAGACCGCAGCCAAACGAAAGAAACATGAAGACAAGTGCGGAGAAAAGTTGTTGGACCATTCGGAGTGTGGCAGCCCACGCCAACCTGAGCGTCCGATCAATCGGACGTCTAGGTGTAAGCATTCCCGATGATGAAATGTCCGGAACCATGGGGCTCGGTCAATTTGGTCTCGTAGATCGTCGTGGAGTTAAACAAAAGAGGTTTAGAGTGGACGGTAGAGTTTTTGAAACTTAAAAAAAATATAGTTTTAGCAGTACCACGGCAAACACCTCGTACCACCCTAAAACCGAAGTATTTTATAAAACCGTGGTATTTTTCTAGAGCATCTCTGATAGTACTTCTAAAATTTACTCTCTAAATCATTATTTGGAGAATTATTTAAATAAAAATTATTTTCTGTATTTTTATACACTCTGACAACTTTTCTATATCATGTTTGCACTCTAGAGATTTATCCTCACTCTCAATCTATGACTAGCGAGAAATACGGAATAGATGATGTCTATGTTTAGATATCTCTGCATCTAAAAAGACCGGTAACGTTATATTCTACTCGGTGATACCAAAACTCGATCTCTCCTTAGGCGTCCGCGTCGTGATAGAATTATCCTCTACTTAGAGCTTACGTGTCCGCGTCTACTCGTCTCCGATACGAAGACCGGATCCATGTTTCCACGTCGACACGAAGTCTTGAAGCTCAAGCGTCCTGCAAAACAATCCGGTAAGGTCTCTCGTCTATTTTAGTTTTCCTATTATTTCCTGCAAAACCATTGCTACAAGCGTGGACAAAAATATGTGGTCCCATATACGGGCATATATATCTGCCTGATTTAAGAGCTTATAATTGAAGAATATTTATTTTATCAAAATCTATATTTCTATAAATTAAAAGGATTGTACTTATATCAAACAGGGCCTAATTGGGACAGGCGGGCAATATTCGTGTACGTACTCCGTAACGAAGCGCAGTAGCCACTGGCAGGCCAAAACCCTCCCTACAAACTCGCGGAAAGCCGCACCGAGAGCACC